GTACAGAAGGAAGCTGTCTGCACACACGGTTTTATAGATCTAAGATTTCAGACAATATACGTTTAAAGATTTCTCCTCTCCAATAACCTTTAGAATGAAAGCTGTGCACTTTGATGCATGAGGCCCTGGATATACACCTGAAAATATCGGTAAGCTTTGACTCTTTGAGGGGTATGGGAGCAGCTTTTGTCATTTTGATGTTGTTATCATAGAAGTTCAGGAAAAAATAACCTAGACATAGATGCAGCAGAAAGTGTCTATCTTTTCACTTTCTCTGTGTGAGGGACATACAGACTAGAGATTAACTGATCCATTAGATGTCTGATATTTGTATCCAGTATTAGCTTTTTGTTGTTGTTGCTTTTTTAAGTATTGTTATATAAGCCAATAAATGAAAATTAGGTTCCCTAAGTTTCACCCAGGACACTTCTGGGGATCTCAGATTATGAAATGTGGGGTGAATTCCCCTTAGAGAGAAAATTTCATTTTATGAACATGGTAAAATCCAATATATGATATAAATCTGATTAACAAATCGAAAACCTGACTTGCTCTCAGCATTCATTACTGGTTGATGCCGTTAAGCTGTCGCCCTGTGTATCCACTTTACAGTCAGGCTCAGAGGGCTGTGCCTTTTGAGGTTTGGAAGCAGAACAACCATTTCCAGAGAGTGTAATTACATCCATCAATTCATTCTTCAGTTCACACCGAATAAAAAACGTGAAATATATACGATGACACCATTGGACGATGCTGTCCAAGCTTACATCCATCATGGATAACACCTTCCGACGCATGCATCAGACTATAGAGGAGCTAAAGCAGATCATTCATCCCTGCTGCAACCAGACTCTACAATGCGACACTACAAGGACATTAACTTGTGCAATGTATAATGTGCAATTACTATTTAATACCCTGTGCAATAACCTGTTTCTCTATATCTGATACCCAGTGTAATAACTAAATATATGAATATCCATCTATATAAATGCCCTGTACAATAACCCTGTATAATGATAAATAAATACATTAAAAAGCTGTCATATGTGGAGGCACTGTATATACTGTATATAGCCTATGCACCTTATTCTTCCTTTGACACCTTCTTCTTCTCCTTTGACTGTTTAAACCGATGTAACAAGTAAATTTCTCCAGTGTGAGATCAATAAAGTCAGTCAGTCAATCAATCAATCAGCAGTGTAGTAATGATCTGGTACTGAACTAGACTTAGCTACAGTGACCCTCATTAACACAGTTAGTATTTGGTTTTGTTTGAAGAATTATGATGCCAAACAAAATTTACCCGGTAAGAGAAACAATAAAGCCTCTTCTTCTCCTTAGCCCCTTTTAGCATTAGCTGCGGTTCGCTTCAAATAATTACAATGAGATTTTTTTTAAGCTCGTAGAAGACAACAGATTAAAGCCCTACAGACTCTCGTGCTAAACGATCATGTTTAATCAGAGTTGGTGATGAGGATATCTTGTAAATCAGGTTAATTTTCCTGCGCATTGATGCTAACGTTAGCATTAGCTAGCATCATAATTTTTAAAACAAGTTTGTTTTGACGTCTTGTTCACTTCCTGCTCCAATAGGTTCTCGAGGGCTTACCTTCGTCCTGGTCGTACATGTTTCAGCTTCTTTTCAGAGTAAGACCCCCGAACTGTGATCCAGAACCGAACCTGTTACACTTTTAAACTGACAATACAGGCACGTCGGCTGGCGCGGCGTCTTCTTCTTCAGTAGCTAAACCTTCTTAGTGGAGCCTCTAACCATCGATGGCGCCACCTGCTGATCAGATGGCGCAAGCGTGAAGAAGCTTTCAGTATTTCTGGACCTGGATTATCCAGCTCAACTCTGCCTGTACTATAACAGTTATTATTATTATTATTTTTTTTTTTCAGAAGAACAGTAAACTATTAAGTTTTTTTATCAGTTCATTTTTTAATAACATTTTTATGTCATCAATGTTATAAAAACAATAAAAAAAATAAGCCTGATTACAGACATCTGTGGAATTCCTCTTGCATATCCAGTTCATATGGAGTGAAAATGCTTTAAAATCACAATCTACTGCCTTTTCCTTTTTATTTATTTTTATGTATTATTTTATGCTGGTATCCTTAAAATTTCTCACATTGGGGTAAATTGTCCTCTGCATATAACCCATCTCCTCAGGGAGCAATGTGCTGTCTGCCATGCTGGGCAGCGCTTACAGAGCATTCTGGTATAAGGGTCTTATTCAGCGTTACAAATTGATAGTTTGAGATATGAACTGACAAACATTTGGGGCCTCCTCACCACAAAATCTAACAATATCCCAACCACTTAACACACTTTTTTTGTGCATGTACATTTGGTTTGATTGCTATAGTGCAATAACACAAGTAGGAATTAAATATCTGTTCCATTTTCAGTTATACTTAAATACTTTTAGGTTAAAAAACATCAGTATAAAATCTCCTAAAAAGTTCGGTAGTTTGTGAAGTGCCTTCTTTTGCCAGATTTGAATGGAGGCTCTAACTCTTTTAGTTGTTTTTTTTTTTCCTGTGAAAAGGCCAGTTTCAAGCAATACATTGCATAAGTAGGATGCTCTAAAATATCCCCGGTGATATTTTATTGGACAATATATTCATGCCATTACTACAAAGAAATGTATTATAAAAATTATTCTCATTATATATTACATTATTTTCTGTCTTTGTTAATAAGTACTTGGAGTAGTTGTTAACACTGATAATGATGGTAAAGTTTTATGGTATTCCTCACAAATTATTGTAGATAGACATCAGTTAACATTCAAATACATTCATTAATTCTTATTTGATTTAATAGTATTAAACAGGCTGAGAAGATAGGCTGAAGCTTTTCATTTTGTATATAACTTCCTTTTTATTTTTAATTTCAGTTAAACTGTTTATGGTTTCAGTGTACCAGGAACTCGTAGAAGTAGAATAGCATATAAACAAATTAGAATAGAATGGAAACTGCGGAAATTCTTAAGTCTAACAACAGAAGTGCTGTGATTTGTTATTTGAAGTAAAATTTCCCTCTTAGCTCAGATATTTTCTCTCTTTCCTTAAACATACTCTGAGTTTGGTCAGAGAGTAACTTGTTCTTTGCTATAATGTGTACAGTTTCAGTTTATACTAATTAATCCTGATTTACAAAACAAATTGTAAACATGTATAATATATCATGGTTTATCATCCTAATCGTATATTTTTACAGAATGTAAAACAGTTGAAGCTTAGTTTTAAAGATGTTTCTTTGGATTGGGTTTTATGGTTTAAAATTTGCTTTATTTCTCCTACTATTCCAATACTCCTTGCCACCTTCAGCTTGATGTGACCTATACCTGGTTTCAAACTACAGTTTTGATTTATTATGATCCCCAAAATTGTCCATTCCAATACTGTCTCATTATCTCCTTATGAACTGTCAGATGGTTAAAGTGTGTCTTCCAGCAGGCAGGTAAATCAGTTCTTGTGTTTCTTGCTGTCTTCTGTCTTGTTTTGATTTGTCTTTATAGTGACCTCTCCACATGCTGCTCTGGTACTGCTACCATCTATCCCTGGAGTTTTTACTTAAATAATGTCTCTGTTTTTCTGTGTTGTTCTTTTTTTTATACTTCAATTTTTCTACACTTTTGTTGAACATCACCAGCAGTTTTGGTTATTTCACGCATCTGCAAGCACGTTTATGGCTACCTGTACAAATCATGATCATTTCTAAGTCTTGATAAAATCCTCTGTCATTCAAGTTTGGCCTGTATTAAGTTTATGTTTTTAAAGAACAGAGAACATTAATGAAATCAATGCGTTATACAAATGTGTTGGGCTTTAATAGTGAGACTAATTTAGATTAAATTGTGTTGCATTGTGCAATTAATAAACAACTCTAATGTCAAATCCACAGAGTCACGATGTTTGTGTAAATCTTTAGAACCTCAGATTGTTAGCTACTTCCTGCTGAAATTGTAGCAAATTGGTGTTTTGTTGAGTGATGAGGAAAGACATGACAGCATAAACAAGGATCTGACACCACTGACCAATAGGTTTAGCACTGTAGAATTCATAGCTAATAAACAGTGCTGACCCTGGCACACTATGTGCACTGGACACGGGCATCACTCCAAGAAAATCAATGCAACCAAGAGTCAAATATTGCAGGAAAAACTCAATAATAAAATGACTAATCTCCAGCAGTCAGATGCTTCACTCACCACATGATGCCATGTGCTTGAAACAGTTGGATTATCAATACATTTATCTGATGATTATGTGATCACTTAGTGACAATCAGAGCAATAAAAATCCAATTTCAAGGTGATCAATGAAAGTTTAAAATGAAAACAAAAAATATACAAATGAAAATAAAGTCAAGAAAATGATGTCTGTGAAAAGCAATGTGCTTTTCATGAAGGGTGGAAACCCCTAACCTGTCTGAATTCACAATAGGAGGACATCTATGAGTCTTCTGCTCATCTCTCTAAAATGAATTCTGGATGTTTAATTGAAAAACCTTAATAGTATATATTTTTGTGTTTAATATATACTGTTAAAAAAAACTATCACAGATCTCAACTTTTTCTGGTGATAAAATAAATACAATTGGAAAAGTTAAGATTTTAAAGCATATCCTTATGTCAATAAACACTGATCATACTGACCTTCTCTTCTCCAGTTTAGCTTAGTTAGTATAAAGAAAAGAAAAGAACATTTTAGTGTTGTTTTCTTTGCATACGTTTTTTTTTTTTTGACTAACCTAAAGAAGTAATATATTTATTTCACGTTTTTTAAAGTAAAGTTTTCCACCAGTTTCTGTCCCGATTTGAGCCAGACTTGTTTTTCTGTGACTCCTCCAATCTTCGGACATTTTTGCACTTTGTCAGCGACATTTCAACGCAGACAGAATGTTGATCCACAGATTATGTCTGGAACAAAAGGCCGCAGCAGCCGTCACAACAACAGAAGCTCACATTGTTTCACACAACAACATGGACCCCGTAAAAGGCCGGAGCAGCCAGACCTGCTCACAGATAAACCAAAGCAGGCAATGAGACAACATATTCGCTTATTTCAGGAGAAACTTTCATCCAAGATGTTTCTGAGGACTCTAGTGCTCATCTTCCTGACACTTTTCTTCTGCACAGGTAATTCTATTCATAAAATTAAGCAAACTAATTTATCATAATGTGGCAATTAATCCATTCTTCAAATATGTTTTCCAGGTGCTGAGGACAAATCAAGACTCTATAGGAGGGTAAGAAGCTAAAAAAAACTAAATCAGAGAGTTTAAAATAAGTTTAAAAATTACAGGAAGCAGTTTCATAGTTGGAGTGAGGCGTTTTCATCATCATGTCACTTTCTGTCAGCTTCCTCCATCCTGTTATTGTCTGGCTTTACAGATCAAACCAGACATTTACATACACCTTGATTAATTGATTGATTGATTGATTGATTGATTGATTGATTGATTTCCTTTATTGATCTAACAGTGGAGAAATGTACTAGTTACATCAGCTCAAATAGTCCAAGGAGAAGAAGGTGCCAAAGGAAGAAAAAGATGCTAGTAATACATACAGTATATTCGGTGCATTTCTCTCTGTCTGACAATGACTTAGAAAAGACTTCATCAAAATTGTTTTTATTTGTTCAATTTTAGAAAACTGAGACAAACTGAATTTTTTAGAAATAATTGTATCATCTTTTTATGATTCTGAACTTTGTATGCCTTTCCTCACTGGTAGCTATAAACTGTCTGATTGATCAGGTTGCTCTCACATCGTTTTTCCAGACCTTTTAGATCAGAACTTTAGACTGCCTCTTCAAAGCATGGATGTCATTGTCCTTAAACCACCTTTTTGCTGAGGTTAAAAGGTGTTGAGGGACAGAGTCCATTTAGAGGACCCATTTTTCCCAAAGCTTAAAATGTCATGCTTGATGTCCTGAGATGTTGCTTAAATAATATGCTAATATTTTTCCTTTCCTTGCCGCTTCTGCATTAAAACCAACAGCATAATCCTTCCGCCCCATACTTCAAAGTTGGAATCATGTCATTATGTACAAAAAAACATAAGGCAAATCACTTTTATTTAATAAATATATTTTGAAATCTAGGATTTTTTTTGTCACTTCTGGAGGTTCCTGATTGAGCAGCCTGGAGTTAACTTGGAGCCCTGTCCTTGTAAAGATAGAAATCCCCACCCCTATCTCCTATTTCCCTCAAATTATATTTATGGATGATGGAAAGATGAATGTGCATATTAGAAAACAAAATCGTATATCCTTCTCAGTGTAAAGACCATGGACCCTGGACCGTTTGATCTCCTACCTCCAGGGTCACAAATAGGCTACTGATCTTTCTCTAAAATAGTCTCCTGAGTTTAGTTCCTGATTTATGATATTAAAAACAGGTATGAAAGTGAGTTTGTTAACTTGTGAATGGTCTGTCCTGCAGCCCTCCTGTGTGGGGATGAGCGTCACTCAGGCATGTCCTCTGAATTACTCCCCGGTGTGTGGCAGCGACGGCGTCACTTATCCCAACGAATGCTCGCTGTGCGTCCACCGACTGTGAGTACATGAAGCTTCGTGAAACAGGAGCAGTGTGTATATGTTTCCTTATTCTGTAGAAGTTTAAATATTCTTTGTAGCCAATTCAATGGAACTTGCAGCAAGAGGTCCTAAACGTGAATAAATACTGGCTGCTTTTCTTATCTTAATATGTTTTGTAAATCCCTTTATTGTCTCACAATAGGGAAATTCACTCTGCATTTGACCCATCCCCTTGGGGAGCATTGGGCTGCCATTGTGTGGCGCCTGGGGGAGCAGTGTGGGAATGCACAATTCACACTTTTCAAGGTGCATTGTGGGAAATTTCAAGTCCACAATTTTTTCATCCACTAGACGTTCAAACATTCAATGGTGTAACCACTATATGGTGCCCTATATAATGAATAGGCTGGACGTTCGGACACAGACCTAGAGTTTCCACAAACTCAAATATTTTCACCCATCCAGCTTGTTAGAAAGCCAGGGTCTAGGGACCCGCACCACAAAGCAGGATAAACATACCTAGCAACTGTCTGTAGTCTGAGTTAATAAGTCAAACATCAACACTCCAACCCTGCTGGTGAACAGGAGAACGTTAACTGCAGTTTACTGATTTGTGTGAAAGTAAACAGTTTTAGTCTGCATAAGAGGTGTGTTTACCATTATGAGGCTGAAAGAAATCTACTGATAAACGAAATACCAGTGGATGTGCAAATTTCTGTCTATGGTTGTTAGGGAATTTGTAAACCATGAACATGTCTAATATTTAATTATGACAGGTTCCATTGTATAACAGACTGGAGGACATAATAGAACATCTAATTATATCTGCAAAAATATAATAAAAACATTCAGTCCAACAGGGGGAGCTAGTAAAAAAAAAATTACTTCATTATTTTCCATCCAGATCCCAAAGTGTTCATGAATCTGATTGGTTTTTGATCCCAAACAATCTGATCACAGAGAGCAGTTTGGAGAGGATGATGCTAATAGATCTGTTCAGAGGAGGATCTTCAACTTTAAGCAGAAACAAACTTTAGCATGTTACATATAATTTGCTCTATTTGAGGAGAACAAAAAAAGATGTTCAAATACATTTAGAACAATAAAGATTTATAGTTGAGACAAAACCTTAACAGAATAAAGATCAAATTATATCAAAACAATCAAAAGTTCTTTGATAAGATTTATTTTAGTTTCAATGGCATCATTGTCCTGATCTTATAGAGAAATGCAATTTTATGACAGTGTTTTAACATAAGTATAAAATAAATTATTTTTTTTTCTACAGGGAGAAAAACGCTGACATTATGATCGTAGTGGACGGACCATGCTGAAGATGACCTCATCAGGACATTTTCAGATGACGCCATCCTTAATGTCACCACACCCATGTGGATTATGATGGAATGTAGCTTTTAGCCTTTAGCATTCAAACATGTACACTAGTACATGCAGCCATCTGTGCTCCTATTTGATAAATGCTGCTTTAGAAATGTCTTTAAGTTTTCATTTTTCTGTAAACCTTTTTCATGCATCTTTTAATCAATAAATACATCTTTTTCCTCTGAATGTTTCACTCATTTCTACGGAGAAACATGTATATGTCCCCTTGAATGTTTGCTCTAATGTTCATGTTCGACATCCATATGGAAAGTTATAGACAGGTGTATATGTACTAAATATAAGCCTAAGATTATTCTAGTCCTCCACCACAACAAATATTGTGCTTTTCTAGAATTGTGAATTATTTTCCCATTCAAATATAATTAAGCAGGATTAATCTTGATGTTAAGAGCATAATGTTAATTCCAGTATTCCAGCCTTTCGCTTAAATTTGAAGTAGAGTAACAGACATTCTTTTCATGTTTTCTAGAAAGAAAAACCTTATTGAAACACATTCTTTAAAATATGTTAATGTCATTAGAGTTTTGCTTTTTTTAACTCAAGCACAGACAAGCCAGAAGCAGCAGTGTAACTAAAATATTAAATAATGATGACGGACTTCCAGAAAAACAATGAAGGGATCAGGATGTTGGAATATGTAATACTTTCATAATATTAATTATCACAGATAAATTAAGTGACTGTGATGAAACATTGATGGATGGGTTGTGGTAGGCCGACTGGTCACCATCAGAGGAGAGAGGGGGCTGAGGGGCTTTGCATTCTGCAGAAAGGTTGCCCAGGGGGAAGACAGGAGGATGCAGGAACCCACAACAGAACTCTTAGGAAGGAGAACTTCACAGGAGCCATGAGATAAAGTGTGGAGGCCACTGTGGAAAGCAGGAGGCCAGTCACAAGGTAGAAGAGGCCAACGATGAATCTTTGGAGATGGGCCTGATGATCAGTGGGCTGGAGCTTGAGACCAAAGATTCTGAATCAGGACCTTGAGTTGAGTCTTTCCTCAACTCGTTGGAGACCTCAGGATCAGGAACAAAATCCAGGTTGTCTTTGAACCCCTCAGAATGAAATAACTTGAAGCCTTTTGATCTCCCTTTGAAAAATCAGGAACCCGAGACAAATCCTCAGAAAGCGGGTGAAACAAAGAATGGGTTGGACCAACCAGCTGTGGAAGGATAGAGCAGTTTTTGAGACAGTAGCAGAGGCGTAGCCAGAACATTTTTATAAGGGTGGCCAGGCAATAACCAATGTACACTGAGCACTAATATCTACATACATTGATTATTTGATAAGTTTTTATTAAAATAGTTATTTATCTATCATTTCCCTGAAGTCTCCTAGATGACTAGAGACACGTTTTCTCTTTACCCCATAAAACACAAAATCTACTTCTGAAAAGAGCATGAAATCTGTATTTATAATCTGCGATGTTAGTAAATTAATGTGTATAATTAACCACAAAAGAATATGTTTTGAATATTCCACTTGAGAGTATTACTGATGCCACCATCTGTATTAGAGGGAAAAAATGGTAGGGGTGGCCAATGTTTGGCTACATGTTTTCTAGCTCTGCCCCTGGACAGTAGCCAGATAAAAAGTAAATCTAATAATTGAATTTTACTGATCTCACATTACCAAATTTACCTCTGCATTTAACCCAAACCCTCTGGGAGCAGTGGGCTGCCATTGTGCAGCACCCAGGGAGCAATCAGGGTTTAAGGGTCTCATTCAGGGACAAAGTGGCAGTCTGTGGGAGTGGGGCTTGAACTCAGAATCTCAGGATTCCGAGCTCTATAACCAATAAGCCACCACTTCCCATAAATCTACTTTACAGATTGTTATAGGAGTGATACATTTACTAACTTTCAGAAATATTTCTATTCTTGATTTTATTGTAAACAACATTTGGCTGTACCAATATTTTCCACTTATGTCTCTATAAAGATTTGTCATATTTAATCTACTTAGCCACTATCATTTAATGTTTCTTTTCTTGGTTCTTGTTTTTATTTTTGCAATATGCTTATGTAGATAGAAAAGGAGGAAATAGAAGACAGGATTAGTCAGACTCGTTCCTCTTATTGTAGAGGGCAGACTTCTCTGTGATGTAAATCAGTCAGGGTGAGACTTCCTGTTCCCGGTGCTCTGAATCTCAATCAGAGTGAGACCTCCTGTCCAGGTGCTCTCACAGCCCTTGTGTGTCACGGAAGACATTTTGAGCCGCTGGGGTCGGTCCGGTTTGTTTGTGGGGTCTCATTCTGAGTTCGGGGCTAACGGACTGCTGGTCGGTAAAGCAGGATCCAATTTAACGAAAACACGGTGAAGTCTAACCGCCAGATGTGCAACGAATCCCGGGAGCTAGCAGAGATCTAGATGCTAGTTAGTTAGCGTTAGCTAGCTGGCCTGCCCTCCTCTTCCTCCTCCTCCTTCTCCTCCTCCGCCACCTCCTCCTCGACAGCTGGTCCCTCCTGACAGAAACAATGGCTTTAAAACGGATTTCTAAGGTAACTCTCGCTCACGGCTTGTTTTAGCTTTATCATTAGCATCGGAGTCAGCAGTTGAAACTAGCTTCTGATTCGCAGCTCCACTAAAGGACCATTTCAAAGTTTTTAAAGGTCCAGACCGATCTTTAACACTCTAATCCACACTGTACGTTGTTTAAAACACATTTTGTTACATCTCTACCCTGCTGGTGAAAACGAAGAAATAGATTTGTTGTATTTTTTTGTCGTTTAATGTATCATCAGTTCACAGAAATAGAATAAAAACTTCCTTGGATCTAATTTCGCCATTTAAGAAAATCCTCTTGAATAAAATATTTGACTAAGAGATCCTAACCTGCACGTTAAAGGGTGATGTTATCATAAAACGATCCTGGTATCTGACCAAATGTATTGTGGACCTGATCAGTAGACCTCATGCAAAATACAAACATAAGACTAAAAGCATTTGCTTCAGCTGTGGAACAGGACCCAGTCTGTTGTTTATCTCTGTCAGATATAATGTCATCTAGACTAATAACTATGTTTAAAGAAGTGCAGAATATTGATGTTTGACTTGTTTCAGTGAAATCAGAACCAGGACTGCATAATGATTTTTTAAAAACGGCGGAATACGCCTTTAAATGATGCGGTGAATCAGACACGAAATTCAGACTCTTTCTCTAAGCTCTCATAGCTGCTGTTAGCAGATTCCTCCTGTTCGGTTCCAGGTCTTTATCTGATGTGAGCTTGCTCTTCCAACCGGCCTCACACGGAGAGGTCCAAATCTGGACCACATCTGTATTGGAGTTAAGGGTTCGGTGGTTCTGTTCATCCTGATCTACCTAAACTGTTCTGATAATGCCCCAATTCAATAAACAGCCTTTATTCTTTAACCGTTTCATTATTTCAAGCCTTGGCCCCATTCGGTTTTCCCTCAGTGATTTAGTGAACTATAGGAAACCTCTGCATTTGATCTACAGTCATGGTTCTTTTTGGTCCGCCCACTTTCTGGTGTTTGGATCAATGCACCAATCAGAGATGAGTTCCTCAGCAGGTGTAACAGGTTAATAGAAACTAAAGAGAACCAGTAAACCCAGGGACAAACCTCATGACCAGACGCTCAGTTTCTGGTGGAACTCAAACAAGCCCTCCTGTATGGATGGAGATGGAAAGCAGGAGATACGAGATCCCCACTGGGAGGACATCATGGGATAGATCCAGAACCCTTTGGAGGAACTAAATACCCTTTCTAGGTTGAGAACAGCTCAGGATCCTCCTGGAGGACTTGAGAACCTGCAGCTTGTTCTCAGAGGAGCTAAAGAACCTAGACGGTGATAATGGATCAGTCTGAATATTTAGAGCTGGATTAATATGGCTGGGAAAGGAATCGGGACACTGTTCAATCAGATTTAGTCCTCAGCAGAATTTGAGAGAATATTAAGCTGAGATGTTCAGAGATTCCTGAGGGGAAAGTCCCCTTCCCACTTAACTGGATCTTTCTCTCCTAAACTAAGTCCAACCTGAAAGATGAGCTGCATGTTCTGGTCCTGTGTGTCACATACCGACAACCACACACACACACACACACACTCCGAGGCACTTTAGCTTCATGCTGGAAATCCAACCCCCCACCCCACCCCACCCCATCCGGTTCTATAAGCAGCCGTGTGTCTGACACCGCTGCTCTGTCCTGGTCCGGCCCCTTCTGTCCAGACCCTTAAAATAGCCTCTCTGCTTACACATCAGTACCGACTGTATGGTTCCTAAAGTTCAGATGGAGCAGAACTTCCAGGTTTTAAGTTTGCATAAGTTACGGAACATGGAGTTATGGTTCTGGGGTCTCATTTATAAAAACATTATCTAGGATCCTTACTAAAAGAGTATGTATGAAGAAAAAAACAACAAAACACAATGGTATTTACAAACCATGCTCACACATGAAACCAAGTAATTACCGTTTATAGATCACAGCTGTACCCCAGAGTTTGTGCACAAGGCTCCACCTCATGTTCGGCTGCTATACGCCCACATTCAGCCATAAATGGTCCATGCAAAGCACCGTTTACGATGCCGTCCAAATCAGCAGGCAGAGCTGTGCTTGGCACTGGCTGTGGTATCTCAGACCCCTTAATGGTTAAATTAAAAAAGCCAAACATCTGGATAAGCAGCTCTCTGTGGTGTCTACCTACTATAAAATATATACCTATAATGTAAAATTATGTTTTAAACCATATATTTGTAAACCGGGGTGCTGCTTCTCCATATTTAGTTTTTTTCCCCCCCCCGAAATTCTAGATATCTCTGCTTTTACATACCTGAACTAAATGGTTAAATTACCTCCTCGGTCTGCAGTCCAGTTCTCCAAAGTTCTGCTTTTGACTCAGGTGTGCAGAAGCAGAGACGCATGTAAAAGGAGCAGGACATTGAACTTTGAGGACAGGAATGGAGGAACCCTGCTCTAGTGCGTCGGTCCTCAGGACTGACTGTCCAACACCTTTTTTTTCCACACAGAATTTAATTTTTCTCTTTAATTTACAACCCTAAGCAGATGTTCTAAACACTGGAAATATAGAAAAACAAGATGGACAGAAAAAACTCCTTCATGACTTCATCAGTTCCACCCACAGGCCAGGTTCTGAGGCTCCAGAACCTCCAGAAACCATAGAAACTGTAATGGTCCTGAAGCCTGACAGGCTGCTCATCATGGGTTCTGTTTGAATCAAGATGATCCTCTGATTTACAGGAACAAACTGTTACTGTTGGGTTCCCACTAAATTCTGGCTTCGAGTTTGTGTCCGGCACACCGTCTCTGTTCAGATAAGGGAAAATGGATGATTTTTATTGAACTTTAAAATAATAGAAATCGCCAATATAAAAAAAACACAACTGTAATAAAAAAAAAACATTAAAACAACACCGTCAACCTGAATGCTGTTTGATGAAAACTGATTAAAACACAGAACAATAAAACAAATACAAGATGGATCAAATGAAATATTAAAACAGTTGATCAGATTGAGTTAAAAGCCAAAGACAAATCATTTGTTTTGGGAGTTTTGAAATAAGCATGTAAGTCAGCCTGTTAGATTTGCAACAGCAGGTTGTGACTGAAGACAAAAGTTATGTATGTGACTACGGTCCTATGAATCCCTACTGACCGTTAGAGAGCGATGCTGAGAGAAAGAACTCTGCCCCCAATCTCTGACCTCTGCTTCTGCTTCCTCCAGGAACTAACAGACCTTTCCAGGGACCCACCTGCTCAGTGCTCGGCCGGACCTGTCGGAGAAGACAGTAAGATGACCCTTTGATTTTCTTTACATGCATCCAGGTAGCAGCCAACTTTGCTAACTATCTCTGTTGTTTTCCAGTGTTTCATTGGCAGGCCACGATAATGGGTCCGGTAAGTACCAAGCTGCACCAGAACCACATTACCTTATCTGAACCAGCAGAGTCTGAGGCAGAACCCTTAGAGTGAATGAGTGAAGGGAAGGAATGTTCTGTACTTCAGAACTGAAGCTTTAATTAAAGTATTCACACCCTTTGATGTTCTCTAGGTTTTGACCCGATCCAATTAAAGACCAGTCAAGACAAAGTATCGCATTCGCAATAGTCAAGAGTTGGAAACCATGCTGTTGGTTAACTCGGATAAAACCAAAGTTTGGGCCTAAATACAAACTCTGAAGCTACGTTCACACAGCAGCCTGAAGTGACCCAGATCCAATTTATTGGCCCTTATGCGACCTGGATCTGATCTTTTCATGGCAGTCTGAACAACAGAGATCCGATTTTTTCCCCAATGTGACCCAGACCACTTGGCTATGTGGTCCTGAATCCGATATAAATCGGATCTTTTCAAATGCGACCTGTGTCTGAACGGCCAGGTCGCATTCATCCGACCTGAACGCCATTAATACCTGACAAGGGTCACTATTCTACGTCTTGCTACGCAGAAGCGGCAAGAAAAACAACCATGGCAGATGATGATGCAGAGAGCAGTATTTATGTTTAACCAATTGAAAAGATTGTCTTTTTATGGTTGGGAAAGATCAATAGATGCGCTCCAGCACTAACATCCATGTTTACTTCCGTAAACACAGAGCACGCTGGCCTGTGATGTCATTGCGTCCTCTACTGCGCATGCGGGACACTTACATTGTATGACTGCAGTTCACACAGGAAATCACATACAAGTCGCATGTAATTGGAAACTAGTTGTTCATAAATAGATGAAGCTAAATCTATAACCATCCTGAGGGAAAACCTGTTTGTGTGGAGGATGACCTTCCAGCAGGAGAACCACCTTGCACACCCAGCTGGAGGTACAGCGGATGGTTTAGAGCTGATTGATGAGTTAGAATGGCCTAGTCAAAGCCCAGATCTGAATCCAATGGAGAATCTGTGAGAGATTTGAAAACTGATGTATTCAGCTGTTCTCTGTTCAGATGAACTGAGCTGGGTTTTTTTTATATATATATAATATATATATATATATAGATATATAGATATATATAGATATATAGATATATATAGATATATAGATATAGATATAGATATATAGATATATAGATATATATATATATAGATATATATATATTTAAAAAAAAAACGTTAGCAGACATTAAAAGCCGGAGGAGACAAACACCTGGACGTAGAACCAGAGCAGCTCCTACAGAGGAAAGCCATCTATGATTTGCCCTCTGCTTCACAGCTCATGCTACATTGGTCCATCTGGAGTCAGATCGGGCCAAATGTAGAGACCTTTATGGCGTGTGAATACTTCTAAACGTTCTGAGGTTGAAATGACTACCACAAACAGAACATGGACCTGCTTTCATCAGCTGAACCGTTCCGATCCGTGTGATTCTAGAAATGGACCTGATCCAAAATAATCTTTGTCTAACCTGAATCCTTGTGTTTCTGTTTTAGCCCGACAGTCCGTATCAGGGCGGTGTGTTCTTCCTCACTATTCATTTTCCCACTGATTATCCATTCAAGCCACCCAAGGTCAGTGACGTTCTGAAACATTCCCGGTCCAGATCGCAGTATGGCCTCTGTTCTGATCTGTTGATGCTGTTTCTGTGTTCAGGTCGCCTTCACAACCAGAATTTATCACCCTAACATTAACAGTAACGGCAGCATCTGTCTGGATATTTTACGGTCTCAGTGGTCTCCAGCGTTAACCATCTCTAAAGGTAACCAGGTCCGACCAGAACCAGCTGCATGCTGGTTTTTATTTAGCTTTTAGAGTTGAAGAAAGGTAGAATTTGTAACCTTCAGGGTTCTGAAGTAGATCTACCATGCATTGACAGATTTACTCTAGAATGTTTGATGAACCAAGGGTGTCTCCATCGTGAAGCTTGGGGGGGCCATAAGGGACCCTCACAAATCCATACAGACAAATTAATTTAAGCCTTTCAAAATAAAAATCAAAGTGTCAAATTGTTTTGCTTCATCAACTTTTGTTTTTGCTGTAGTAGTTATTTTTTTTCATTAAACAAATGTAGCTGATATTAGTACATGTGTTCATTAAACTGAAATAAATGGATTTGATTTAAATAGGAAAAAAATTAACTGTTATTTTTCAAAATGAAAGGTAATATTTTCCTTTCTAAAGTCCCTGTCACACCTTGACCATTTAGATGAGCATATGCCTGAAAAATCTGTCAAAAACGCTGGGATACGTTGGATAAGTTATGGGTCAGTTTTGTATAAGTTATGAGCACGCTGAAACACGCTGGCACACGTCGACATACTTCAAGTACGTCGAGAAATTTTGAGTGTGCATAAAATTTCCCAACGTATGCCAGCGTATGCTCATACGTGGGGCATAAGTTGCAGGTAAGTTATTTAATCATCGACATACGTTAAGTGTAAGTTACTCATAAGTCGTGGTGTCCAGCTTATCCAAAACCTATGAGAAACGTGTGCATAACTTACTTTCTACCTTTCTTTATTATTCTTTTTTTATTTGGCAGGTAGTAAACAGCAGCTAGCTTAATACAGCAATAAAAAAATATTTTTAAGCAGGCCAGGCGCATCGCTGCCCCTTTCAGGACACTGGTTGTAACATTTCATGGGCATTACTCTACCGTGCGTTATGCATAAGTTAGGCTGTCAATGGACATAAATTCTTGACTCATTATAAATTGAAAAAACAGAAAATTCAGCGTATGCCAGCGTTTTAGGAGATTCTGGGACGTCAGGCATACTCTGGATAAATCATAAAGGTGTGACAGGGGCTTAAGATGATAAACATTCAGAGTTTAAGTCGGATTAGTTATAGAAGAATGTGATTGTTATTGAAGAGTAAAAAAAAAAGCAAACAACAAAAAAGAAGCACTAGCTTAACTTAAAAATCAGTGAAGCTCTAATATTTGGGATAATTATCGGAGCATGGGATCGTCAGCGATTGTTCCAACAGATGGTCTTGAAAATCCTTCATCTACATAAAGTGCAGGCGATTTTAATAATCAGTCAGTTGCACAAAAATAGATGCTGTGTTCATCATCAGAGAAGAGCAGGAAGTCAGGAGGGTTTACATGTGCTCAGAAATGTATATATTTTCCCAGAATATATCGGATCTGATCCGCTGCCAAGAACCAGGACAGTATTTTAGTGTCAGACTCAAGATTATTAATGATTTGAGCCATAGCTGGTGCTGTTAGCTTGACCCTCAGACTGTGAATACTACTAGGTCAGCAGACATGGAGGAACCAGTGGTTAAAATGATCCTTGTTCTGATCCAAAGCAGATTCTGAACTGGTCTCCGTTTTCTCTCTACAGTCCTTTTGTCCATTTGTTCTCTGTTATGTGACCCAAATCCTGACGACCCATTAGTGCCAGAGATCGCCCGCATCTACAAAACAGATCCCGTCAGGTGAGTTTGACACACACAGAAATGGAAACCAGGATGATGAACTGGACTCTAGCTGGTTCTGGGAGAAAAGCTGAACTGTTGGAGGTGAAAACGTGGCACAGACTTTGGATCTGTAAAGGCTGGAGTGTGACAGGAGTCTAGATAATGAACAGAAGATGGAAGATTCTGATCTGTAGCTGTTAGCTCAATGCTAACAGCTGCTCTCTGTTACTGTGGCTGAAAATAAGTGTTATAGTTTTCAAATGAAGACTAGTCACTTCTGAAAAACAGGATAAGAAAGCAGAAACACGATCAGCATTACGAGGTTTGGATAAAAAAGATCTGTTTGAAGTACAGAACCAGCTAGGAGAACTTTAATAGTTCTGCTCTGAATCTGTTCCCCCCTCTGCTAGAGTCAGAGAACGTCTGAATTTAGCCTATAGTGGACAATGAGGAGAGTTCTGTTCTGTTCTGCTTGGAGCACCTGCAGTTTGAACCTGGATTTTGATGCTTCGCCGTGTCATTTTTCTCTCCTGCAGGTACAACAAGACAGCTCAGGACTGGACCCAGAAATACGCCATGTGAACTGCGTGAGCTGCACCTTGCCCCGCCCCCTTTCCCTGCAATCTGTTGGCATTTTCATTCATCTCATTCTGAACTGTGATGCTGTTAAAGCCCGTCTGTCTGTCTGTCTGCTGGAGACCGGAGCCCGCTGGTTACCATGGCGTCAGAGCCGAGCTGGACCCACTCGCTCCTTCATGCATGTCAGTGATTGGTCCATGTGCTGCTCTGAACTCTGTGTCCACGTTTTAAAGGAGAAAAGCTGTTTAAGTTTGTAGTTTGTTTTGCGATTTTAGACGAGAGCCGTTAGTTCATCCATCATCCGACTCCGTTCTCCTGTTTTTGCACTGGAAAAGATCCGACCTGCGGCGGCGGACCGATCAACTAAGCGCTCTGTGATGGTTTTTCTCAATAAAGATGAACAAATGGAAGCTGGTCTTGGTTTCATTTAGTCGGAGAACGATCTATCCTCAGGTCTGTTCAGGTTCTGAACCAGAACAGATTGGTTTAATACAAACTCTTACTCTGTTAGAGTAAGGGCTAAAAAATAAACATGAGTCTCAAAATATAAAAATGACTTTATTAAAAAAAATGAACAACCAGTTAAAGATGAACTGTACAGAGCAGGAAGGACATAAATATGTGAAACATGGTTGCCTAACAGCGCCTGGACTACAGTTCCCATAATCCTCTGTGGCTTTGTTTGTCCTGGAAGGCACCAATCTTCTCATCAAGCTCATAAATTTCAGTTCATGAGAGAAATTTAAACCTGCAGAGAGCAGAAGGTTCAGGTACTGGTGGAAAAGGAGGGAGGCTGCTGGGTACCAATCCTGTAAACATCTGGAATTACAGCAACACAGCGGAGATCATTCAGCTCGTTACAGCAGAACATTCTGGGGTCAGGAACCAAGGCCCTTTAACAACTGCTTCCACGTCCAACATAAATGTTTGAATTGTCCTGTGATGGACCGGTAACCAGTCCAGCCTTTAGTCCACCTAATGCCTGGTGCTGGTTCCAGCCCGGTTCGGCTAAGATCCACTCTTGCCGGGTTCATCAGCGGCTGCTTGAAAAACTGAGTCCAAAATGTTCTGCTGACAACTATGACCTAATCTGAATGAATCGACTTCCCTGGAGGCTGAGAGTCCAGATGTTTTCCACAGGTTCTGCTGCTTCCTGCTGATCGCATGGTTCTGACCCAATCATCTGCCGTGAACCATTAGCAGTTAAAGTTCTGATATTTGGGTCTGAGTAGGTCCTGAACAGGTTGTGATTTTTCTCCTACTGATATTTTGTTCATCCAGAGCAGAACCACTCCCGGGCCCACAGATGTCCAATATTCAGACCTGTTTGTATCGGATCAGAACCTCTAGCACCATTATGCCTCAGCTTCATCAGGAACTAGTGCATCTTGCTCTTCATGTTTGAGCTTCAGGGAGCTGTTTAGAAACTGGAAGTGAAGCTGCAGCACCGGTTCTCTTCCTGTCAGTAAAAAATCAGAGGTTGGCGGTCCAATCGGATCAACAGTTCTGCTCAAATATTAAGAAACTTTAAGCCTTGATGAGTCATGATGAGGAGGTGAAATCTGGACCAATCACACGGCTACGCTGTGGAGAGCTCCACCCCGCTGTCACAGACCCCGCTGTCAATCCGAGCTTCCAGCTTCAGGTTCTGAACCTGAGGGCACAGAGCTTCAGCTGCCAGATCATCGCCATGCTCCTGGTTCTGACAAAGCGCCTCCTCCAGGATGCGGAGTGCCCTGCACTCCCCCGCGGACCTGAGAGCAGCCAGCAGATCAGAGATGGTTCCCCCTGAAACCTGTGGAATAAACACAAGAGATCAGAACCAGCTGATTGAAACAGACTGGGTTAATAGCTGAGGTCACCTAAAACTCAGCCCAAAACTAACAGGTTGATTTAAATCCAGAAATTAAAAATCCTGCCCTGCCTGGTTCTGGTATCGGTGAGTGTTGTCACATTTACTTTATTAGGCCAACCAGGAAAAAGGACCAAACCATGTGACAAAGATACTGGCAGAACCCGACTCTCATAAGGAAAATAACTTTTTCCCACTTTTCTATTAATTTTCTAAGGAGGTGAAGAAAAGGGAATCTGTGTTACACCAGGCCATCCTCTCTGCTGCCTTTCCTTTCCCATCATAAAAAAAATGGCTCAAAGAAGAACCTTAAATTAATTCAAAGGTCATGACCTCCACCCAGAAGCTGTTTGTTTGTCTGTTAGCAGGACAGTTTTGTCAGAGGTGCTTCTCATGACAAGGAACAATCCATCAAATTTGGCTATTTGATAAAAAATTGTGATCCCGATGGTTATCTGGATACAGGTGATTTTTAAAGGATTCTTTAACATTATATGGCAGTGCAAACAGTTTCCCCCTAAACCAGAGGGTGGCAGCAGTGACTATTCACAGCTTCAGCATCAGACTCCAAAAAGTCCAGAAATATCAGACTTAAAATACACAAACACAAGAAAAGTGAACCAGTTATTTGTTCATGCTGTAATGAGAGTGAATGACGGGGGATCCCCCAGCTCTTTTTTCAGGTCTTTGCAGAAACTGCTGTCATGTTCAGGTAGGAACCTGAGCCGCAGCCAGAACCCATAAACCACCTCTGGAAGACCTCAGGGAGCCTGGAGAACCTAGGAGGAGCCCTTTAAAAGCCCTCCTCACCACTTTGGACAGGACCGAACATGGAGACGAGGACTCAATGTGCTGGCTTATAACCATGGTAACTGGTCTGCGTTACCTCGTAGCTGTCCAGCAGGGTTTTGGCCGGAAAAGGACTCATCCTGAAGGCGGTATTCAGGATGCCGAGGCCAAGGCTGTGAGCCAGGTTCTCCCAGCATCCTTCAGTTTCCAGGGCTCCGCAGACGGCACGCTTCACCTCCACGTCCAGGCTGGACAGATCACCCTGGGGAGGGACAAAGGCTCGCTGGCTCTTTGATTCGTACTCTTTACCGTTGAGAAGGTCCAGCACCTGATCACACACACACACAGTCAGGGTTCTGGTTCAGTTCTGATTTCACACACGTGTTGGTGTAGATGTACCTCAGACGAGGTGGCCATGTTGACTGGAGTTGTTCCGGGTACGTAGCCTTCATCATCGTCATCCTCCCTGTCTTCTTCACATTCCTCCTCCTCCTCGGAGAAGAAGAGTGGCTCAAAGTTCTCCCTCTGAGGGTCAGCACCTAAAACAAAAGGCAGGAAACGTAAGCGAAACTAGAAAGATATCCAGACAACTTCAATCTGACCTTCACTGAATAATTTCTGAAGTTTAAAACAAACCATGAAGAAACAGGTAAACAGAGATCAAAGTAAAGCATGGTGGTGACAGCATCATGCTGTGGGAAAATCTATGAGGAGACTTAAGTGAAAGTTAATCTTCCAGCAGGAGAACTATCCTGAACATCATGCTAGAGATATAAAGGACGGGTTAGACCCGAGCAGAATAATGGGTTTGAATGGCCTAGTCAAAGTCCAGATGTTAATCTGAGAATCTGTGGCACGATCAGAAAACTGGTGTTCTCAGATGTTTTCCATCAAACCTAAGGAGTTTGAAATGAATAGAATAAAGAAACAAAGTCTGTATATGTTCAAAAACTCCAGAACACCTGGACCTGCAGCCAGAGGAGGTTCTAAAGAGTTCTGCGACAGGTCGGCTGACCACAGAAGCACGACTCACTTTTTATATCTTCATTTCTAAAAAACATTTTTGCTGTTTCTTTTACTACTGACATCTTATTGCATATGCCTCATTTCTGACCCAGTCTGTGTTGGCCTGACTAAGAAAATAGGAATAACAGATGATCATGTTAACACAGGAAGCCGCCCACCATCGGGGGGAGAAATAGTCCTGGTTCTTCATGTGCTTCACTCTTAGCTGGACCAACGTTCAGGTCTGAAAAATAAGCATGAACACCTGATTCTGGCGACCCCTACCTGCAGCCATGAGGAGAGCTGTCAGCTTGACGGAGCCGCGCCCTGCAGCAATGTGGAGAGGGGTGGAGCCGTTGAAGGTACAGCAGTCCACCTTGGCGTTTCCCTGGCAACAGAAGAACAAAAATGTCAGCCTTAGTAGCGATTGACAGAGATGGCTGCAGGTGTCCATCTCCTCTCTGACTGATCGCTGCGTACCTCCAGCAGCAGGCATCCGGCCAGCGACACATTGTCAGTCTCTGTGGCGAGGTGGAGGGCGGTCCGCCCATAACTACGCTCCTGGGCGTTGACATTGGCTCCGCCTACTAGCAGCTCTCTGAGAGCCTGCAGCCGATTTGCCAGAACTGCCAGGTGTATGGCACACAGACCTGTGAAGGTGGAGGCAGAGAGCGTGAGCTGCAGGATGTGTGTGTGCTCCTGTTTTCATCAGGGTAAGGACAGTTTATCCAATTTTACCATCAAAGTGAGGACATTTTGCTGGTTCTTTTTTTCTAACGTTTACGATTAAGATAAAGAAGTTACCTGAGGTAAGGTTAAAGTTTGGTATGCACTGGTAATGTTAGGTTTATTGTAAGGGTTAGGGGAAACAAAGGGTTGATAATAACTAGAATGAGTGGGAGTTACCACATGGTCCTCACTACATATAGCAAGACGATTATGTGTGTTTGTGTAATAACCTGCTGTGTTGCTGGACTCCATCAGCTTTCTTAGCTCTTTGTGTTGCAGTAAAAGCTCCACCATCCCACATCCTTCCTGCTGCGCTGCCAGGTGAAGAACTGTGTTGCCATGACGATCCGTCAAAGTCGGGTCAGCGCCAGCCAGCAGCAGCGCTTCTGCCGCCTTCTTCTGCTGGGTGATAACTGCCAGGTGCAGGGGAGTCTGGTAAAGGTAACAGACCATTAGAGTGGATCCAGGTTACAGGTACCTCTGATTCCTGGAGAACCCCATTACCTGGTGCAGGTGGTTCCTCATGTTGAGCACCTCCTCTCCAGTGAGAGCGGACACTACCTGCGTCAGGCTCATCAGCGCCTCCTGCTGGCTGTGGAGAACTGCTAGATGCAGCCCCCTGTCAAGAGAGCAGAGCATTATTGAGCAACAGTCACGGTCAAACGTCTGTGTCTGTATGTGTCTGTACTGACGTGTCGCCATCCTCATCCTGTGCCGTCATCAGGGGGCGCTGTGGAGCCAGCAGGTATGCTGAATCGCCTGTGACAGAGTACCGGAAGAGAGCGTCGAGCTGCCTGTGGGTCGCCTCCATCAGTAGATCTTCTGCAGCAAAGATGTTGAAATGTTACCAGAAACAGAAGTGATGATATCTCTCATCATGGTGTCGTCTGCATGTAAAAAACAAACCTGCTCCAGGCTTCAAGCTGACCGCTCCATCCTTACTCCTATCCCCGTCCTCGGGGCCCTCTGACTGGACAGGGCCGAGCAGCACAGCCCCGGCTGTCGGGTCATCGTCTGGGTCGCTGTCGTCATCGCTGTCGTCCACACCGCCACCCTGCAAAGCTTTAAAACAAAAACCAGTCTGAGCCAGTTACCCCTGATCTGCTTTGTGCCGCCACGCAGCTGATGAACACTGATGAACCATAAGAACACACTCAGGATCTCCAGGTTCCTTCTTTTAGATTTTTTTATATTTCTATATATAAAAAAAAACTTATTTCATAAACTAAACAAAAAAATTGAACTGAGCTGTAGTGACATTAAAATAACAGTTAAAATCCGGACTCCAGTCATCTGCTTTGTGATTAAAGCTCTAGTCTTTCCAGGTTCTGTGCTCCATCCATTAGCTAGGAATAGCAGATCCTAAGAGGGTTCCTGAACTTCGGTGACCGTCAGGACCTGCTGACCAGATCGTTGAGCATCCAGGTGTTTGTTCACTCAACGCCAGGATGGAACAGCATCAGCAATGACCTTAGAGCAGAAACTGTTGCCCCCCAGGCTACCTGGGAAAGGTCAGAGGTCATTTCCAATCCATGTGAAGTCAATCATTTAGCAGAGAGACGATTGTTCCTGAGAGAACGTGTCGCACAGCTGCACATCTTCCAGTAGTGGACGTCTCAGCAGATTCAGTCAGAGATCAGAGCGTGAAGCTCAGAGAGATGATTAGAAATCCACAAGCTCCACCTGAGACTCTACAGGTCTCAGTTAGCAGGTTAAAGTTTAAAGGTCATATTCCTGAACCTGACTGTCTTTCTGGACATGTTGAGGGAGAACTCCTTCTTTTTCTACATATTGACCTGGGTTAGTTAAGCTGCATCTGGTTAAGGAACAAGATTTATGGGACAGGTGAGATCGTAATAGAGATGTTTGACCATAATGGACACTGGGTTCCTGGGTCTCACAGCTCAGTGAATAACGAGTGTTGAACATGTTTGGTTCTGTCGTTTGTTTTTTCAGGATGGATTTAAATATCTTAGAACCCAGGGAACCCAGATCAGCTTTATTATTTCTAGATCCATGAAACACTGGAGTTGTAGATAAACAGCTTGAATCCTTAAAAGTGGACAACCAATATATCTTCAGTGTTTCTCACCGTGCTTCATGCCGCCTCCTCCTCCAAGTCCAGTTGAGTAAGCTGTGGAGAATCCTCCACCTCCTCCCCCTCCTCCATAGTTGTAGGAGGTGTAACCCTGATAGTATCCTGCAGAACACAACAAACACTTTCTCAACTAAAATCCCAAATGAATATATTCCAACATGTTTTATGTTAAATACTTAGACTTCACCTCCTCCTCCTGCCGAGCCTGGTCCTCCTCCTGTCGCAGGACCTCCTCGGTACAGTCCTCCTCCTCCTCCATGTCCACTGAAGTCCTGAAAGTTGGGCAACGTCTTCTGTCTCTTCCTCTGCACCTCCTCTTTATCTGAAAACACAAAATTAGTCTTTTACTATCTGAACCGGATCCAGAGGGCCTCCTAGAACAGAACTAGAACAAATCTAATCAGGTCTGGGGGCAGAGTCAGGTGACAAACCTATAATCTGAGGATGGTAGGTGAAGGGTTTGGGCTCGCTGGTCTCGTTGTCAGACTTCCTCTTTAACTGGACAAACACAGATGTCGGCTTCTGGAGGTTCTGGTCTCGATACTTTGGGGTCTTGAAGACGATCGCAAACTGTTGTCATGGCAACATTATGGCAAAAAAAATAAAAAAATATCAAAGTGATATGAAGTTAAAAAAGAACTCAAAGTACCATCGTAACCTAAGGTCAAATTTTCTTCACAAAGCATTGTGGGAAATGCTGAAGCGTTGTTCGGGTCTAATCGGATCTAAAAGCTAAGCCGCTGCAGAACCACAGATGTTCAGTGAGACGGGCAGCAGGTGAGGCTGATGTCATCTGCTGACCCTCTGATCCTGCAGCAGGTTTACAGCCTCAGGTTCACACCAGAGCAGGAAGCACAGTCCTGAAACGGTTCCTGCCGTTTGGACTTTGCCTGTTGTTGAGATAGCCGCCGCTGTTACTGATAACACTGACCTGTCTGTGGACATCAGTGGGGGAGAAATCTCCCAGAGCCTCCCAGATCAGCCCCGACTCATCTTCCTCATAGAACCGTACCTGGATATCATCTACAAACACACACACACACACACACACCATGAATGAGCTGAGTCCTGAACATTAATAAGAGCCAAACTAAAGCAAAGTTTGAAGCAGGAAAAAGAGCCTCATAGAGCTGGAGCCTCTTCCCTATCTGGGATTTGCATATAAGAGGGGAAAACCCCAGAAGTTGGACTTCCTCCAACACAACAAACCTGTAAAAACCAACCAGGAAAAGCCTCCAGCTGCTCACTCCTCAATAACTGCCTGCAGGTTTGGACTTCAGGGCATTTATTCCTAAATAAATGTTAATCCACTGATCAGAACCACCGTGCTCACCTTTTTGGACTTTGTCACAGAGCAGGTAGACCTCCTCTCCTCCTGTCACACAGCCAGCGGTCCGGTCCATCCTTACAATCTTCAGGTTTGAGGCGTTGGGAGCCTCTGAGGAAAGAAGGACACTCTTTAAATACATATTGAATGAAAAAAAAAAAAATTTTTTTCCCCTTTTTAATTATATTAGGGCTGAAAAAATTATTCGGATTAATGGTTTATTTCAATAATTGTCAGCTAATTTAGTAATCGATTAATCGTTAACTGGAGAATAGAGACTCTAAGACTTGCCTTTAGGTGACAGAGCGACCCACATAGAGCAGTAATTATACCATAATTAAAACATATATATATTTTTGTTTTGTAAATATGCTCTATCCAGAACTCCTCACATAGAAAAGTTTTCGTTTGATATGGTTTAATTCTGTAAAAAATCTTCTTAAAGGAACCTTTTGCTATTCGATTATCAATAAAAAAAAAAAAAAAAACTTGATAATTTAATCGATTAGAAAACTAGTTGTTAGTTGAAGCCTTATTTTAAACTAAAAAGGTCTTCAGGGAGAGAAAAGGGAACCCAAGTCCTCGTTTCTGTCCACCAGCATGGCGACCAAGCTGCTGTGATCATCTATACGTCGTCTGCAATAAGCAAGGGTTGATCCGGACGAAAGGCAGCTGAAACAAAAGGTGAAGCTCTGGGTTTCCGGCTCCATCTATGCTCTAGATAAAGGCAGCAATGATAAAAGCAGTGAAAGCCTGGATTGATGCTGCTGCTTCTCCACATCGAGAGGAAGATGGTCCCTCTGATAACAATGACTCCCAGACCAGGAAAGGCAGATCCAAACTCGCCAGATCTCTTTTGTCACCCGAGAATCTTTTTCAGATACTAATTTAAATTGGAGGAAAACTCCAAGATTCTGGTCTGAAGAACTGCTCATTTTCAAACCCAGATTCCCAGCCGAGAAAGACTGACCCCCAATAGGACACCTCGATTAATGACAACAACGGTGGAGTTAAGATTTAGGAGAACTGGTGATTCTGACAGTCTGAGCCCTGTTTTGGTTAGGAAGCTTGGAGCTCAGAGAAATGCTGCAGAGTTCTGAAACCTGATCATAGGGAAGGAAATGAGAGCAGGAGGCGCTAAAGAAGAGAAACAGTGAACCTTGCTAAGGACAGCAGAGCCGATTTCATCATCCACACATGAACTCGCCTCTAGTTTCCATAATGAAAAGCTAAAAAGCATCAGATTGAATGGAGAAATTCAAAGAGAACCTAACAAGCAGCTGTATATTAACTTAACAAGAGGAAGCGGGAAACAAGCAGAGACCAGCTTCAACCAGCTTCCTTTTGGGTTCTAAGATTCCAGGTAAGATGATCTAAGGAGCAGACCTGATGGTTCTGAAAGATGCAAGGAGATCCATGCTTCAAGAAGACAAGCAATCAATTTTAATGTCTTTCTTTGGTCTACGACATCCCACCATACAATGCACACCCAACAGTAGAAAGGGGGAAACAGCTTTTCGCTGAGACAGGTTGATTTGTTCCAGACCCATGTTTACATCAACACAACCACATAACACGCAGAGATCATTTTAAACTGACTGAACACCTCAGGTGTGAAAATCACCCTGACGGTTGTTATCCAAACCGTTTCTAAGTGTTTCCTCTGTGATGACACGTTTGAAGTTCAGTCAGGTTTCATAGCACTGATACAACAACGGTGAAGTTTACTAAAGACAGGTTAAATAACTTTTCCCCAGTTAATAAGCATGACCTTTTATTAGAATATGTATGGTACAAAAATAACAACATACTATCTATTTTATTCTGTACAGAGGACTGCAGAATGTGAATTGTGTTCTGGTTTAGGAGCTACATCTTCAAAAAAAAAAAAAACAGGAATCTGTAATTCAGGCCACTTAAAATGTTTTTGCACGTGGACGTTTGGACTCACTGCTGTCATAGATGGGCTCGGACACCACCGGCTCCAGTCGTCTAGAGAAACCGCCGTCGCTGTCAGGGAGGAACGCGGTGAACATGAGGCGGACCACGCTGAGGTCCATCTCCTTGGCCTGGTTGGCTGCTGCGCTGCTGATTACGCTACGCTGGTGCTCTGAACACACAAAACAAAGAAAGCTGACAAAAGAACCAGGATAGAGAGAGTAGAGCCAACGCATCCTCAGAACCCATACAGAGGCTTTTCATAAAAGAAAAAAAAAAAAGTTTATAAACAAATACCAACAATGACTGCACAGATGAATGATAAAATCTTCAGACAAGAATGTTTTACTTTCATTATAAAAATCAATAAAAACATCAACTGACAGTAAAATAAGTTAGATAATTGATGGAAGTTTTTTTCAATTAAAAATGAAGTTTGCCATTTAATCTAAAGGTAGGTTTTTAGTACTGAAAATGCTCCATATGTTTGAAAACGGTCGGGTACAGGATTCATAATTGGTAAAAAAAGAAACTTGGAGAACCGGACTACTGTGATCATAAAAAGATCTGGATCCCAGGAGGAAACTGGATTAGCAGCACATTTTAGTCCTATATTTACATTAGAGATTAAACACCCCTGAATTGTTCTGATGGGTCCGTTCAGACTATATATATCAGAATCACTGACCTGTAAGGTCCCGTGGGACTCTGACCTCTCCCTGCTGGGCGTCAATCTCCGGGTGGATGGAGACCCCGCAGTTGTAACCCATCCTGAAGGCTTCGATCATCCGCTCCTCCAGAGTCTTCGCCACGTTCTTCTTGGTCACGTGGAGAATCCCCAGGTTGGGAAAACTGCAAAGTAAGCAGTAAGCAGAGTAAGAATTTGTCCTATTGAGGAAGACCAGATCCAAACCCAGCCTGTTTCTCTCACTAACTGATGCCTTCTTCTTGCTTCACTTCTTGCAGCAGAAAATGTTAACACAGAAAAAAAAAAAAAAACATTTTAAAAGGCTTAAGAAAAAAAAAAAAATTAAAGAAAATCGTTGAGCTTATCTCAGATTTAGTTCCATCAGTAAATGTGCTAATTTCTTTGTCTAATATTTCTAATATTTCTAAGTTTATTTTACTCATACTGCAGACATTACATCTGTAAACGTAGGCTAAGGAACGTCCTTCTAGAAAACACGTCTGAGTCGAAGCTTCAGCTTCCTGTCGGAAGTCTTCACATTTTGCTTAAATGATTTGACAAAATTATGTTCCCTCATGATGCAATCTGCAGGAAAACAACCCCACAGCATGAGGTTGCCACCTCTCTACTTTACAGCTGGGAGGATGTTAGGGGTTTTTTACAAATTGAAAGACGACCATTAGATCCAAACATTTTTGGTTTTACCATCATCAGAACACAGATTACAGTACTAGTGGGTAGCTCTTAATCTCTGAGTTCCTTCGCAAAATATAATCTTAATATAGTCTTTTTATGCTGATGTTGGGATAGCAGCTTCTTCATTTCTGAGTGGTCCTTCAGTCCATGTTTATTCTGGACATGTTTCACCTCAGATAAGGACTCTCTCCATGCCTCATCAGCATCTTTAAAAGGTGTTCAGCTGATGGCTGAATATTCCATCATGGTTCTACTGGAACAGATGAAGGTGGAATTTTCAGCCATCAGGAAGTCAGACCGAAGGATGAACTGATGATACTTGGAGGAGGTCCATCTTCCTCTTCCTAAAATTTGGGCTGATTTATTTAGATGGTTCCATGATGTCAAACAAGGAAGCAGTAGGTGTGATCCTCCAAGGAACTCATGAGTTATGGACTCATCAGAGGCTTACAAAGCTGTGACATCATCTGAGTCTAATCTGAATGATGTCAGAATAAAGGCTGAGATGTTTTATGGAAGATGTTAACAATCAAGTTAATTTTAAACTGATTATTCAATATCAGCAATTTAAAGTCTGACTGAGAAAACAGAATGTGTGAAGTGGGCGGAGTTACTCCAAGCCCACCTATCACTATTCGATTCATCCAGGAAGCCCGATTCGTACCATCAGCTCTGCGCAGTTTCCATAATTCATTTAATTATGGTACTAAAATAATCCACTTACTAAAGAATGCCAATACACACCTTTAAAAAATGTTTTAGGATTTTTCTGAGACAATTTTGATGCTTTTTACATTTTCTCTTTTAAAACAGCTTGTCTGATGTCATCGTCAGGCATGCTTAGTGTAGTCCAGCTAAATATGATTAAACCATGTTTATCTGCATTTTAGTTGTTTCTTTCTTTAGATTAAGTGCAATATACCCTAATGGTAACACAAAAGGAAAACATAAAACTCAAAAAGACGAGATTTATGTTTAAATCCAAAGCCAAAGAAGTTAGCTTCCGGAAGTAGCATAGGATCCCATTTCCGGTGCAGATCGGGCACAGATGACTGATAAAACAGAAAGGACTTTAAGGCATTTATTTTCCCAGTTCATACATAATTAACAAATAACACATTATAGTTTAGTACGGTTACTATTTTTGGGGAGGGAAAAACGGAATTTAGGTCTTTTTTACAAAATAAATCAAGGGCCCAGATGCATCTATTGCGCATGCGCAAACGAGCTGATGGTAGGGATCGTGCTTCCTGGAAGGATCGGGTAGTGACACCATCACCCCTAAGAAATATATAGGGTTAAGACCTGATGATGGAGTCTTTGGACTGCAGGTCGGCGATGCAGATGCCTTTATCGCATTGCTTCCCCACCAGACTGTGTGCGTGGAGCTGAGGCAGCTGGGTCTGCGCCGTCACCAACTGGACCACGACCCGGGCTTGACCCTGGTAGTGACAGATCTGAAATACACAGAGCAGAACGCCAGCGTTAACGCAGGCTGGGCCCTCAGGGAAAACAGAGAAGAAGAAAAACGAGGAGGACGCTGTGGAAAGAAGAAGCTGCTGGCTGCAAATATTCGATGATGAGTGGTGAAATCAGACAGAATGAGGTTTCTGAGCTTCACAGATGAGTCACACAGACTCAGACCTTTGGACTTTTTTAGTCTATCTGTGGTGGTTCAGAGAAACTTTCTCCTGGTACAGATGACTCACTGAAACTTCTTACCTCCATTGACATAAGTGATATCTGAGGTAATGAATTTAGGCCGCCCAGATGTGAAGCAAGATGAGCTGAAAACAGTCCACCTTTCTTACAGTTTGAAAAAAGATTAGCAGATGTTTTGTGATTCAGATAGACGATCAGAGCAAAGTTTCAGACTGAGCAGTGATGGCTGTGTTCAAAAGAAGTCAGAGCAATAATCCCATTAAACCAGGTCTATAATCTGCAATCATAAAGAGTTTTTCTTCTTAAATTTACATGCCAACCATCTCAGTCAGATGGACTTTCCTTTCTGCCCACACGGGTAAAGATCTGAGTCATCTAGATGCTGAAGCTTAGAGAGGATCAAAGAGACATTGAGAAAATGAAGAGGAAAATCTGAGTTAATTAATATTCCAACTTCATGGTTTCCAAATATTATCCATCAACCCTTGCAGGTCCAGGACTACAGTCTAGAGATCCCAGAGCTCCCAGTGACTCTTTCTGGTTCCTTTTAGAGAATCTGAGGTTTTCTTAGTCACGATGCGATATGCATTCAATCTACAGAGTTCAGATGTCTACCTTCGGGATCTCTTCCCGGTAGGACACACATTTAGAGGCCATTCTGATTAAATCAGCCACCAAAGGTGACCCCCTTTTATGACAAGAAGCAGCAGCTCCCCTTAGGGAGCCCAGATATAATTACTATTTTCATTATATTAAATATGGTTTTATATTGGCTACTCTCCGTAACTTGCCGTGGACAGATGGAGTTTAGGCACCAGCACCCCTCGCTACCCCCCTAGGTATAAGTGTTACTGAAAATGGATGGAATGGATGGATGGATGGATGGATGGATGGATGGATGGATGGATGGATGGATGGATGGATGGATGGATGGATGGATGGATGGATGGATTTTGCAATATGAGCTTTGTCCCTTGGCCAGGTTTTGGACTCTCTGTCCCTCATGAAACAGAAATCTAATTTGATTCAACAGTTTAACTCCCTATTTTAAGGGAAAATAATGTGCTTGAAAGATATATTTGTATCTTATTTTAATTTGGGTAAAAAAAGAACACCTTTCCCAAGCGATCACTGTTATTTTCACCATAAAATATATTGTTTAACTTTCTTTTTTTTTAACCTTCATCTACTTGCAACCGCATCAGTTGTCATGTGGGAGAATGGCTCAAGGCAGGATAGCAGCGTTAGCTACATGGAAGGAATAAAGGTAAAGTTTTTAAAAAACCAACAGTAGTTTTATTGGACGTTATTTCTAAACACTTCATATTTCTCTTGGATCTACAAATAATGAGAACAATACCAGTTTAAAATGTGAATTTTGAGTATATTTTATGCTAACTCTAAAGCAGATTAGAATAATAGGTCATGAGATTTTAAAGAAATGCCAAACATGATCATTTCCAGTACTATATATATAATATAATATTTATAGTTAATATAAATATTTATGGGATTTCATCACAACCACTATCAGTTAATATTTCTACACACTGTGATAAATTAAATCAAAGAGAAATATCTGTAGTGCTTTCTTGAAAGAACTCTAGAGATAGTGTTTGGTTCACAGGGAAGAGGGTCTGCATTGTGTTTACAGAAAGATGCTCCAGTCTGCTGATCCCCAAGGATCTATCACAGTTCCCATTCTTTGCATTCTAACCGTTGGAAATGCTTGCGTCAGTAAGAAGGTGGGTAGGTTTGACTGAAGACGGCTGGGATATCTCACTGGGAGGTGGACCAGTGATTCCTCTGGCTTTAACGGTTTTATTCGCGAGTCCTTTCCATGAACCTGGAATTACCAATCCAGGATAATAAAAAAAAACATCACGGAATGAGGAACTGGATAAACACTTTTGACTGAATTGGCATGCATGACTGGGGATCTACACCAAGTAAATCATTTTTTTCTTCCAGCACACAGGCAATCTACCACCAAAGGCCCTAAAAAAAGACAAATGCTGATAGGTTCCTTTTGTTTTATCTTTCAGGGATTTCTCAGATGTTAATTTTCGTTATCTCTGTGTGCAACTGTTACCACATGAGAAACTCTTCCTGATTCTGCTCTCTGTGTGTCAGCAGCCGTGCCGCTGCAGACATATGCCTGCAGGAACATTGCAACTGCTGCAATAAATAAAGCCGAGCCCACTTCCTCTTCCTGGTTCTGTTGGCCACTCAAAGCGAAGAATCAGACGAGTGTGGTTCCTAGAATCAGAGCGAGAGCTGCAGTTTGAGGGTTTCCTGGCTTGTTCACATGGTAAGTCAGCGCTACCTGACAGCTGCTACAGGTCGAAACAGAAGCTGGAATCTAACCTGATGCCCTTTGAGCTCTCTTTCTCTCCAGGGGTTGATTCAAAGGAAGAAAGTCATTAAAACATCTGCAATGGTTTCATCGGGTTGAAGGAACAGAACAAATGAACAAAAACCAAGATAAAGAACGTTGACATTAAAACTAACAGCAATGATTAATGTTGGAGGCTCTAAGATTTCTAATGTAAAGAGGAGCTGCTGCAGATCAGAAAAGGATTAAAACCCATGGTTTAGTCCTGCATGGAAGCAGATCAGAGGTTTTGACTCATCCTGTTCCACCTCCAAATGATGTTCCTTCCATGTTGTGCTGGAAGTGTAGCCTGTAGGGGGCAGTGTTGGAATCTAAAGATCCTTTTATCTGTACTTCATCATCCAAAACATCAGGCCGTCACAGAGATGTTCAGGGACCGTTGGACACAGAGCTGTGGGGTGTTCTACAGAGCAATTAAAGCAATCCAGTCATCAACACAAGGTTCTGGTGATAGACTGACTTCAATAAAAGGATGATCCCACTCAGCCAACTGAGGTGGACAGCGCTCCTTCAATTTAGAGCCAAAAACATTAGTTTCACTTTGCTAGATTCAATACGGAGTAGTTTTAAACACTATGAGACTGAAAGGGAAATGACGCGCCTGAATTAGTCAAAAAAAAGACCCAGACTGACCTGAAACTGTTAAACAGGAAGCTGAAGAACTAATGACCCACAGAGAAGCTCTCAGTCCCCGACCTGCTCTACACAAGGTTTTAGAAACTCTCTCTTAGATCCAAGCATGGCTACACAAGTCTAGAAAAACATGTAAAAATGATGCACATTCCCTTTGTTTCTGTCTGAGCTTCACTAAAACCACAGCTCATGAAAAATCTACCTTGCAGGACAAAGATAAATATCTAAAATCCTGCTAAATCCTCCTCCCAGTAATGGTAATAATGCACAGACTGTACTTCCACGTAACACGTTTACTATTAGGATTATAAGGGCCAGTTTCCTGAGCAGAACCTGCAGGATCACCAGTTTTATCCAAAATGTGACGACAACCACCTGCTTAGACATTCTGTGCATTAGATGAGGTGGGAGTGGCCATGTCAGGAGCATCTGGTTCTATCTGACATCAGCAGACCTGAGTTTTGACTCTGGTTTAGGTTTTGTTTTGGTTTCATTCCACAAAGCAGCTTAATTCTTAATGATGCTAACATAACATCTTTAATGAGCTTTCTCTTCTGCAGCTTGTTTTGTACTGTATTGAATAACTTCTACCAAATTATGTCACCATCTTTACATCTTTTTAGAACCTGCTTCCTTAATCCTTTCCTTACAAATGTTTGTGCTACTAATAATTAATGAAACCTGAGGAGCTTCAATCTGCTCCTCTGACACATCCAGCAGCTTCTGCTCACCTGGACTCCTGGCCTGCAATCAGAAATCCAGCTGCAATTCAGTTCAAAGCTTTCAAAACCTAATAAAACAACCGTAAACGGACCAGGAGGCAGAGGAAGGGCGAGGACAACATGTCAGATGTGGTCTGGTTCCTATGATGCAGACGCTGATCATAAAAATCAACAACTGGTGCAGATTGTGAAAAACTTTAAGACATTTTAAAAATGAGTTTGCAGGTTAAGATCAGCACTAACTGGAGCAGCAAGGGTCCTTCAGTAGGACAATGTTACCATCAGAACCGTTGGATTGGACCTTCAAAGCCTACTTCTGATTGCTGGATAGATGTTTGTCTGAACTGGAACCAAATCAGAGAGAAGCCAACCGAACCAGGAACAGGTCCCTGTGGGACTCCATCTGTGAATTTGGGGTTCCAAGATTAAAGTCCCATAATGCACAGAACGCTGCTGAAATATCTGTAGATAAAACCTTTAAAGGTGCTGAGCCAGAGCCATGTTGGGCTCTGAAGCAGCCTGGGATTTTTCACTCAGCTGAAAATAGCTTGTGAAACTGGTTTTCCATGACATCATGAAGCATTTTAAATAGAATGCCATGTTGTTGGTGTTCTTGGAGGCTGAACAGCATTCTGATCTTTTGTGCTTTTATTCTACTGATACACCGGAGCACACACACACACACACACACACACACACACACACAAAAGAAAAGAACGGGCAGCTCCTACAAGAATGATGGCTGAGAATCAAACAGCATTTCTGCTCTTCTTTGGTGTTTAAGTAGTTGGTCGGGATCCGATAGCTTTGAATGGAAGCTCTGAGTGAAGTAGATGCAGGTTGGACTCAGATGTGGACGTTTTCCGTTTTCCGGCCTGGCTGAAGCCCATGATCTGTTGGTGTGACGAGCCGCTGCAGCACGAGCGAGGGGTTAACTGTGTCAGTGCTTCTGGCCTGAGTGGGTGCCGGCACTGACACCGCGCTCTCACCTCAAAGTTGAAACTCTGCACCTTTCCTGTCTGTGACGCAGCGCTGCTTCCTTGTAATTAGCGGTGGGTGTCATGAGGAGGAAATTCCCAACAGACATGAAAGCTGCAGAGGCGTGTGCGGTTTTAGAACAGGCTCCTTGTCGGACAGGTCCGGGCCAGCTCTGTTCGGATCAGAGGTTGCCGAGGGCGACAGACAGACAGCGAGCCCGAAAAGGATTCTGACCTTCCAGAGGGATCAGTCTTTTTGGACTACACTAAAAAAAAAAAGGTGTAAGGATGAAAAGTAGGAGAAACATTCTGGAAGGTTCTTCAGGTGAACTGATGACATAAGTCATCATGGAAGCATAAACACTGGTTCAGATTCAGACGGCAGCAAAAAGCAATTTAAAAGTAATCTAATAATAATTAAATGTTGCTGAATGAAGAGTAGCTGGTTCTGGCTGTGGGCAGGAAAGGGCTCCTGTAGAGGTATGTGTTACAGCGACTGCGACATTGCCTGAGATCCATTTTCTCAGACATTTGTTAATCACTCTTAGTCAGCTGGATATAGGCACCAGCACCCCTCACGACCCCGCTTGGGATAGGTGTGATGGAAAATGGATGGATGGATTAGTGAATAAAGGTAAAAAGTAAGTACACCCTCTGTTAGTTCTAGAGGGTGCACTGCAGGAAGACATGGAACATTGCTTCCGTTCAGCAGCATAGCTCCCCAACCAAGTCAGAACTGAGAAAACTCAGGTTCCTTAAGGCTCAGATGGTTCTTTGAGACCAACTCGTCTCCACAAGATGACAGCTTTGATCCTGAACCTGCTTAGTGATACTATTTGGATGAAGTTTGCCAGATGCTTTAACTTGTATGCATTAATTAAAAACTGATCAGGGTTCTCATTGATACAAGGAAGCAGCAGATGATGTTTTTTTTCTCCAGATTATTCCCAGAAAACAAGAAATGAAAAAGATCAAGATGAGTTAAAAATCCAAAAGTCAAGGAAACTTAGTGCAGAAGCTGAAAATCTGGGCTGATAAGGAGAAGACGTAACTAAGAGAAAACAAAAGGGACGAGTAAGAACCATCGGCACTGCTGTCCCACGGGGCACAGGGGTTTTCCCGCTCCACAGCCTTGGCATGCAAACACGCCTCAGCAGCACCAGCCTGCAGAGGAACACCGCTTCCTGCTTTGGTTCTGTGACTTCATTGTCACATTCTTGATAAAACAGAAAACACAGGAGCAGAACATGACCTGACACCACCCCACAGGGTCAAGTGTTCCTGAAAAACAGGTCCCTGGAAACAGACCTGAGAATCATCCCGACAAGTCCTCAGCCAAATCCCGGCCCGGAAAAACGAGACAGATGATCCAGGAACTTCCTCCCTTAAAATAGCTGACCTGCATTGGATCAGAGCCTGTTCCGTGTTGATTAGCAGATGTTCGGGCAGGTGAGCGGAGTGTGTGTTGGGGCATGTAGATCCCATTAATCACACAACGTTTGGATTTTTACAGTAAAGGGAAAAAAAAACAAAAAGAGGCAGCAACAGGAATCTGGGGATTTCCTCCAAACGTGGGAGTTTCAGAGTCCAAACATCAGCAGAAAACAGAAATATTTTGGTCCAGAAGGCATCAAAGATCTAACAGAGGAGAGATGGACGGTTTTGAGTTAAAACCTTACAGATTACATGTTTAGCCCTGCATAGCGCCACCTAAAGGTGTTATTTCAGTTCTTCATCATACAAAACCAAGTTCAATCCCTCAGTTCATCCGTACAGAAAGCCCGGCTGGTACTGGCTGTCTGGATAAGGTGAGCACGCCCACTCCAGGCTAATTTAAAAACACAATAAACCCATTTAACCTGCTCTGTTCAAGAGGAAAATAAACTCAAACATGAAGGATTTGCAGAAGCCTGGTTCCATCACAATCCAAACTGAAGCTCTTTTGATTCAGATGGCCAACTGGTGCCATGATGAGCGGCCATATTGGAGGAGGCGACCCGTTGATTGGTTTTAAATTAACCGTTCACACTTAAAAAAAAAATGTCTCAAGACAGAATTGGTGCAATGAAAACTGCACACTGAACCTTTCCACTCTGTTATCCAGTCCTCTGTATCTCCGTGTTTAAGAACTTGACTGGAACATTGCAAGAAAAACATGCAGGACAGAAGGATTTTTTAGACCTGGGTCTGGGTCCGCATGTCTCTTCATCATGTCTGGAGGAAGCTCCAGTTGCTGGACGTTTCCTGTTCCGTTATACTTCACTACGACCATAGAAACAGAGCATGCAGAGCATATAGGCGCCATGAGAACAAAAACATCTCACTAAACTCCCTTAGGCCATTCAGTTATAATGATGAAGAGTGCTGAGCACACTTTTGCATGTTCGCTAACAGCTAATAGCAGTGTTCTCGTTCAGCAGTTTAACTTTCAAGCTTAATGTTGGAAACTGTTATCAGAATGTTTAGCTTCACCTATATTAGGTTTCCCTCACTTTAAAGGGTCTATTTCATGAAAGGAGTTAAAAATGTCTGAGTAATCCTGATGAATTCTGCTCCTCCCTGTCCTGGAAAACAAGACAGGTCTACGTAGAGCTGTCATTACCCTCCCCCTCCAGGAAGTACTACCTTCACACCAGTAAACAACACCCCTGGTTTCTCTAGTGATGTGTGGCAGAGCATGATAATTTCTGTCCTAAGTTGAGACAAATGATCTAATTTAGCAGCTAGCATGCACAGGGAAGCAACTGTTCTTTTATAGCTGATCTCATGGCCGTGAGATCCCTCTGACTTTGTTAAGACTTCCAAAAGTAGAGCCTTCAGACAGAAGTGCCACAATAGATCAAACATCTTCCTTCTGGTTTGGAAGAAACACTTTCATAATAGGAATACTCCACAGTGGCAAAGACAATATTTCATCATATATATGCTTATATTTGATGTTGGCAGACTGCAATAAGTTTCATACAGAACCGTATGCTAACAAAATTCCCAATACGGTAACATGCTGTTGGCCTTCTTCATGTTAATGTCAGGGTAACATTTATGCAAAAAGTGAAAGTACGTAAAGAAGTTGCTTTAAAATGTAAAGAAGTGCTTGATTTTCTATTATTCATATTTTATGTTGGATCATTTTTGGTGATCTGTGAATACGAAACTTTGCGCTGAGAGCAGACCTCATTGTCGACACCTTTACACCACAGAGGCGCTGAGCAGAGATAAAGTCAGCTCAGTGTTTTCAGGAAGTGTTTCCTCTCATGCTCACAGCTTCTAGCTGCATGTGAGGCTCGGTGCAGCCAGATTGGCTCCGTCTGCACCGTCCTCCATTCAAAGCTCACCCAGTTCAAACACAGAAAGCAGACAGACGTTAGGGATACCTTCACGCTCGGGTATGTCTTCCTGTTCTTCTCACTAGAGGCTCCTGGTAGACCGCCGTGAGACGGACCTTCACAGCCGTACCTGAACCTGAAGCCGCGCTGCAAAACAGAGAAACCCACACAGTGAAGAGAACAACACTGAATGGAAAGTTTCATGTCAACATTGTTACATGACCTCCTAAATAACAAATATTATAGCGCAAATGGAGAACATTAGGATCATGGAGCTGCTATGACCCTGTTTGGGTCATCTGCTAAAGAGATAGAGTCAAATTTGTTTCTGGAATATTTAGTTTATATTAAGTTGTTTACTCAATGTATATTTATACTGGCCCAAATCATCATCCCGCCACCACTGTGCTTCATAATAGGTGTAGAGTGTTTGTTCTGATCTGCTGTTTCTGGTTTCCTCCAAACATATTTGAGTCCATCATGGTCCTTCGTCTCCACCCTCAGAGGATACTGTCCCAGAAGTCTACTAGCTTAGCTAACCGTGGTCCTGATAATCATTCCTCCTTTCTGATGGCTTCAGTGATGCTTTAACTGATGGACTTCAGACAGTCTAACCCTAGTTTCAGACGGTTCCATCTAGAAAGTCACTGATGATGTCTCCCCATCTTTCTTAACCTGAACCTCTTTACATTGACAGAATAAGCACAGATTATAAATAGCATGATCAAATTAAATATCTTTAAAAGAAGGTGGATTCATTAAAATTTGAGTCTAGCATAAGATGTGTCTGCAGAATAATCCTCCTCAAACAAACAAAAAAACAAAAAACAAAAAAAAAAAAGAACCACAAACAGACGACTTCCTTTCTCTCTCTAAGGTCTTCTGTTTGTGATTGAAGGATGACGGCTGTGAAATGAGAGGGCTGCATGACTGGGTGGGTTTTCACCTGCTTTGGCTGCTCCAAGATCTGCAAGTACGGTGCGTCCACTAAAAGAAACAAAAACATGTTCTGAGTCAGATTTTTCTCTCAGTTTCAGACCTGAAATGTTACTATTTTTTTTTTTATTTCTCTTTGTTTTCTGCTTTGTCAACATATAGATGAAACAGTCCCATCCAAACAGTTCTTCTTATCAGTAAATTCTTTATCCTGAATCTGAACCCTCCAACATCCCATCAGAAGCAGAGCTATAACAATGAGTCTGTATTAAAGGGCATAGAGGATACAACTTGTGAGTTTTGGAGAAGAACAGCCACGATGTGGCAACTAGAAAGCAGAAAAAAGCCCCTATACTCACGGGATGAGCTGTTGTGTCAACATTGAACAGAAAACTCAACAAGGAACCAGTTTCACCTTGGCTTTTTTGTTCCCCTCTGAACCAGAGTCAGTCCCATCCCGTTTTAGCTGATTCATAATGGAAATAGGACTCATTTTGCATACATGGGGTTATTCCTGAAGAGAGTAGTTTAGTAAAATAACCGCACGGATCTCCATTAGCTCAGATAAACTATAAACATGATGTCATCTCTAAAACGATATGTTTATTTCATGATAGAAAAAAAACCCTTAAAACCCAGTGAGAAACCATAACTAATATGGTAACAAGAAAGAGAAAACAGTAGGGATATTAAAATATCCTTGTGTTAACTACCCAGCTGCTATTTCTAACTGTTAAAAATGACATGCTTTGCTGATTCTTCTGCTGAAGTGAAATTTTTTTGTGGACCATAAAGTCCATATGTGGTCAAATTACTGCGGGATTCCAGTCACTGATGTCACATATGTAAACAGAGTCCATCTGCCATCCCTCCATCAATCTAACAAGGCTACAACACATAAGCAAATCTGCAGTGACCGTCTTTCAGCAACAATTCTTTCCAAAGAAAAGCTTCATGAGCTGCATTAAACAAATGCTCAACAAAGACTTATAAGGTAGGGGCTTCAGCTGCAGGTAAGAAGAAGGTGTGTGTGAGTACATCAGCACCACAGTGAGGAAAGACAGGAAAATGGGGAGAAGTCTGTTTCTGTGAGACTTCTGTGTGCTCCGAGCAGAAACTTCATAGATTTGATCCCAAAACCTCGGAAATGTTCCCACGACCCGTCTGCACACAGTAGAAAGAAGTTTTAAGACCAAGAGCTTTAGATTAGGTCTGCTGCTTCTTCTTTACTTCACAGCCACGGGAAAGAGGAAGCGAGAACAGAGACGGCGCGTCACGAAACTACCCTTTCACTTTGCTTTCATTCATTTCCCCTGTTATTTCGTTTATCCAAACAGAAACTCTCTGTAAGTCTTTCCTGCCCTGCAGCTGTGAAGCAGAAACATCGATTTCAATCCCTACTTCATGCATTTGACCATTGCTGGCTTTTTTGTGTTTTAACAGCCAACCATCAGCTGAACAGACATTTCATTCATTCCTTCGTGGTACTAACAAGAGCTGCTGTTGTCTGAAGTAACCAAGTCAAATCAGGCCATTCTACACCTTTCAAGCATACCGCAAACTGAAAATTATGATAAGTAATCTTTATTTCTATGATTTGTTGGTTTACCCTCAGTCAAGAAAAAAATATAGAGAATTTCTTCTAAAGCAAATCTGATTTGATGCTTCAAGTTTGCAGGGAACCCCCAAATTTACCTGTTTTACAAGCTGAGCTTAAAAAGCTAATAGAGGAAAGAGGAGAAGGGTTATAAATGATCGGATCAGGGTTTGATCAAATGCTCCTAGAGGCCTGGATTTATGTATGCTGTATTCTGTCCTTCATATCTGCCAACAGCTTGGATGTAAACACAGCCTTGCGCTGCCTGTCTGTGATTGGCTAACAGCTTTACGAGTGGTAGTAGGCTGCACATTCATTTGGTTTGTTCTATTGCCTGTATTTTACATCTAAATGTACATTAAACTTACACTAAAAAAAAACAAAAATTTCAAGAAAACTAAGAGTTTTAAAATACTCTTATAAGTAGATAAACAAATATCTAAAATAGACATCAAAAGCTTTATCAATTTGTCGTGCACAAAGAACCACAACATACATTCAATTATAAATACTATTTAAGGTATTAAAAAAACGTTACATACCAATATTAAAAATTTAACTTTTTATTTAACCAAGATAAATAGAAAAAAAATACTTAAAAAATATAATACTTGGAATTCTGTGAATACTAGCATATACTATAAAATTATTAGTATATAAAAGAACCGAAAAGTTTTGAAAAAAGAAATGAAAATTGTGCAATTAAAAGTCCAGATAAATAAATTGAGTTAAGATGAAAATAAAGAAAACACTTTAAACATATTAAATTCTTTCTTTTTTTGACTATTGAGCTGATGTAACGAGTACATTTCTCCACTGTGAGATCAATATAGTCAGTCAATCAATCAATCAATAATAAATCCACATTCTCAATAAAATTTAATATATTATGTTAAAAAAACAAGATAGATAAATAAATGTAAACTCTGCGAACTTCTTATTACTTTAGAAACATTAATATTTTAATCATTTTCTGGATAAAAATTAGCTTAAATGACCAAAAGATAAAGATCTGGGACCATTGGGGCTCCATGGATGGGCCCTATTGGAAGCAGCTTAGTTTGCATAGAAAACAACGAAGCATTAGTGAGACCAGTAACTGTCAGAGCTCAGAGGAAAACATGTTCTACCACACTAGAACCAGGACTAGAACCCTCTAGGTTATAATCTACACCTGATTATTATTAAAGTGATTAAACTTCAAATGTCTTTATGGGCTCAGCCTAAGAGTCTCTGCTAAACCAGAACCATCATGACCAGAACCATAAGACCTCACCACCCTTCCTCAGCCTTTAGCCAGAACCTGTACAAGTTCTACTCTGTGAAAGAGGGAATATCAAGCAGGGAGTGAGGTTCAACCAAAAACCCAAACATCAGAGCAGTTTCATGTGGATGGGCGGATCCAAACAGGAAACAGTGAAGCCAAACCTCAAATTAACAGAAGAGTAGCGGTGTTAGCGCCAAGGTAGACCAAAAGAAAAGGTTCTGCTAGCNAAACCTCAAATTAACAGAAGAGTAGCGGTGTTAGCGCCAAGGTAGACCAAAAGAAAAGGTTCTGCTAGCCAACCTGTCCTCGGACCAACAGAATTATCTGTCTTCCCGAGGCAAGAAAATAATCAGAATCTGTTGCTTGAACTACCTGATGGTTCGTAGGTGGCCGTGGCCACGCCGAGCAGCTCTGGAGAACAAACACAAATAGATCCATGAAGGTGAGGAAGGTGAAAGTACTCACCTGACTGCAGGGATGGGGTATGAGGCATTGCTGCAAAGTGCGGGAGCTCCCAGGATGGGTCGTTCAACATGGTGTCGAAAATCTGCAACGGACAAAAAGCTGTGGAACATCATTCGTGTTTCAGCAGGACAGAACCTCTCTGGGTTCTAATGGAACACCAGGAGCTTATAGCAGAACATTATATTCAATTCCTGTCAGACATTTGAAGACAAAACAATAGAGTCTGCTCCAATCCATTTTCTGCCTTACTCCAGCTGTGGCTTCAAATAAGAAGGGATATAAAGTCAATCCATTAGGTCTCTGTCTACATTTTAACCTCTAAGCAGACACCAGCTGTGATGACACAGTTGGTTCCTTCTGATGCTCCATCACTCACTCCAGCTTCTCTACCTGAGGTTTCTATCCACTCCTGGAGGAAACATTCCTCATACTCTGCAAAACTCTCATTCTTTCTCCCATCACCTTATAAGTCCTTCCACCATGGAGAACACACCTGATTTCAGCTTAGAGTAATCACAAACACAATGTCCTGCAGTACAACAACTCAGGAATGGATGAATTACAAACCAAAATTAATCCGATGGATAGTTATTTGTTTAGTGTGGTTTGGGCCCTTCTAAAACCTCTCTGCTTTTAGGGTTTAATTTGAAATGGGTATTTCCAGAAATCTAAATTAATCGTTTCTGTGTTCAAGAAGCTTCTGGCAGCTGTTTAACATCCAGCTGGATCGTATAGCAGAACACAGGTGAGCTCACCTGGCTGGTAGCATGAAGATAGTGGTCGTCAGCAGCCATCGTGTCTGCAGAGAACACACAAAGCGCTCCAGTTACACTAACAGTTGGAAAAAACAAAAAAACAAATGAAAACTTGATCAACATTGAAGATAAGATTTTGATCAAAGAAATCCTCCAATATTGTGAAGTTAAAAAATACCAATAATGTTTTTAAAAGTCTGTGGACAAATCTGATCTGTAACTTCCCCTGATTTGTGTTTCCTATTACATGTAATTACTGACTGCCGTTAGGGTTGAAAATACTAAATCCTAAGCATAAATGTTCCAGATATTAATGACTGTAACAGCAGCTGATATAAAACAACTCCAGTTTTAACTACATTTTATTCTAGACGCATATTTTTAACAACATTATGAGAATCTTTACTGATAGATATCCATACAAAGTCTAGTTGCACAAAAAGAAAATATCTGTGCAAAGTTTTATGCAATTTTGTCAGCTCTGAATAAATATCTACTATAAAGACGATAAAAACAATTTAATTACATTAATTTGATTTCGAGACCTGAAATGGAAGTCAGAAAGCTGAAGAGGCAAAAATGTATTACCAGAAAAATCAGGGATATGTTTGTGCAAATGGTAAATAAAAAAACGCCAGGATAATTAAAAATATTCATTTTGCTTTTGTTTAGGATGTCCATCTCCATCCATGTTATGGCCTTTCTCTGAAAATTGAACAAAGAATGTCTGCTTGGTACATCCGGATTTTCAGATGAATAAAATTCAATACTATACATCTCAAAAGTGGGTCTAAATGAAAACGAAAATACACTAGGAAGATCAGGGGACAAAGAATGGAGCGTTGCGGTTCCCCAACATTAAATGCAGACACAGCTGTTAAAGCCATTGGTTTGCAGCAGAAATGCACTACAACTAATTACTATACATTTAAAAAAAGAAACCAGTTAGAAACTTTAGTTTTTTCGATATATTTGAGTTATTCTAGCAGCAAAGTTGTCAATTACCTATCTTAGATGTAATAAACGCTCTATGATCAGATATTTTTTTACATTATAATAAACTTAATATTTGTATTTTCAAAACAATAATTATTATTGTAAATAATAATCATTGTTGTCCCTGGTCTTTCATAATTACACTGTGTCCCTAGTCTTTCATAATTACCAATCAACAGTATTGTTTGATTTGTTTTATTTATCTTTTACTCTCCTGACACCTGATGCTGTAGAACAGCGCACGTCCCCGCATCATATGCACTGTGAACGCGCTTCCTTGTCAGTTAGCTCCCGAGCTAAAAGCTAACATCCCACCCGTGGGACTACTGCTGTTGCTTCGCGGAGGTGATTTGTAAATAAATTTTAAAAACGGACACAGAAGCAGCAGCATCCCGGATAAGCTCTCGGTGCTGGTGTTCGAGCCTAACCGAGTCCCTCAAGGTCCTGCCGCGGTTGCTAACGCTACCTGTGCCCGCTGCCACCGGGAGCGCGCTCAGGTTCCTACGAGACTCCGTTTAAAAATCACCCCAATTTATAAAAACCTCATGATTCCAGTTAATACGTAATGACTGCAGATTGTTTTCTACCGCCAATATAAATAGAATAAGGTGCTCATCGATTCGGCAGTTATAATGATAGCAGCATTTTTTATTTTCTTATTTTCTCACTAATAAATTCATTTGTCACCATGGACAGGACAGATTTCACATATACTACGACTCCAGAGTTTAGGCTAGAATAAATACTTAATTTTCTTAAAATACGAGCCGGATTAAATGTCAAATATCACAGCTTTAAAAAAAAATGTTTTTAGAGCTGTGTTGAGCGTTATAATCATTTTCTGGGTTTTATTAAAGGAACCACATTGTGTCCTCAGTTAAAGTTACCTGGCTAATAAGGAAGTAAGCAACACAACAAAGCAAGCGGAGCTGTACCAGTTCGGTCCGGTCCGGTCCAAGGCGCGGTTCTGACAAAGTAGAGAGCCGGTTGGTCTGCTCACTGTTGTTAATGTGTAGTAAACATGGTGTTACCTTGTCAGCTCGCTCAGGTGGAAGTCAGTTTGAAGTGTGACAGTTGGGGCTCGTTCCGCTTCACTTTAGTTCACGCATGTCCGTCATTATTTCCTCTACACGCAGAATCCGCAGACTCACTCTCACAGACTGGTTTCAGCTCCACGAAACCATCGCTGGTCACAGTGGACCGAGATGTTTAATCCAGTCGAATCTACGCAAAACTGAATCCTCCAGGTGACACCGAGAATTAAGAGATTGCAGTTCCTTCCCCAGTGGAAATTCCCTCAGATGTTCAGTTTTACCAGAAGGGGGCAGCAGAGAGCAGCGCCGACACTAAGCAGATCTGACAGGAGGTCTCACTCTGACTAAGATCAACCACAAAAGGAAGCCGAGTGAGAGAGAAGGACTCAATCCCAAACCAACCCCTAAACGCCAACCCTCCGTTTGCGCGTCCCCGCGGAGGGTCCGCCTCATTATAGTGGAGGTTTTTCGTGATTTTATGCAAAGAAACGCGCTCTCCACTTAAAGAAAAAAGAAATGCACATTCACAACTCTGTACCTGCTCCTGAGAGGGAACGCCTATTAAACACATTTCTACCCGTGCACGCTATATTTAAAAGTTGCTGTTTGCATCGCTCACACAAGCTTACTCTCCAAAAGAAGATTTGCAATTTTTCTAGGTCAGACACGTGTAGGATGACCTTACATAAACATATCGCCAGAATGATTGACAATCAGGAGGACCACTTATTTTGATGATCCACCCATAAAAAGAACATCCTACAATATTCCTTTAAGTGACATCCCAAACCCTGTACTGAGTTCAGTCCTTAAATAGTGAGTCTGTTGCACTGTTCAAATTCATGGGCTGCGTCCTCCGAAGGCCAGATTCAAAGGACGTTTACGTAATAGCACGGCGCCGAGGTCTGGTCAGATTCCAAGACTTCTCGTTATGCCCCCTACAAATGCGTCCTTCTTTTTGCCCAATTTCTATGAGGTTCCATTTGTGTCAAAAATAAGCAGATGTAAAATGTCTAGATGTTGTGCTGTTGTTGCATATGTGTTGTCTGCATATGTCTAAGTTTCACATGTATTTGTTGCATATGTAGATGCTGCATATGTCTATGTTGCATATGTAGATGCTGCATATGTAGATTCAGCATATGTATGCAGCAACAGTAACATCTAGACATTTTACATCTGCTTATTTTTGACACAAATGGAACCTCATAAATTTCAAGGACGGGTCCGATGTATCCTCGCTATCCGTGGATATCCCAGGATAAGTGTATTCTCGTTATGAGTTCGTATGAAATCGTACGAAAAGTTTTGCACCGTAATTTCGTACGTTTTGGACGTTTTTTTCGTCATATGTGCATGCGCATCTTACGCACCATTCAAGAACATAGAATTTAATATACAATTAACCCTAACCCTGACCCTAACCCTAACCCTACGATCTAAAACAGCAAGCCACGTAGTTAGAGACATGAAGAAGTGATTATTGCACTGTTTTTCCCAGTTTTACGTCCATCCGCGGATCTGCTTTTTTTGTCTGTCTGCCTGCGCATGCGCACTGATTTGTTTTTTTGAGGAAAAACATCCAAAATGTACGAAATAGTGTGCATAACTTTTCGTACGATTTCATGCGAACTGATAATAGGATTCATTGCGAGACCGAGCAAGCTGGCTGCTCTGTCATCAGAGGAAGTAATACTTGACACCGAACAGTGGTGAATATTGGAAGTTCAATTTAATATAATACAAGTATGAATAGTTTCCTTAATAGTATTGAGTCCGATATGTGGCGGTAATGTTTAATTTATCTAAAGGTTTTTATCAGTTACTGTGTAAATGAGTTTGGCTGTAATTTAAGGACAGATTCTAATATATCTGCAGCATGGGGACTATAAATCTGATATTTTTATTTTTCCATTGCTGTTTTGCACAATTTGCTTAAAAATATTTTTTGTCGTTGAATATAATATATTTTGCAGATATATTTTTTATACATATGTTGTTTAGATTTACTTATATACTTCTACCCATTTTGTAGAATAGAATAGAATATAAAATTTCTTTCTTGTCCCACAATGGGCAAATTTACAGCAGCAGAAAGATTATATAATAAAATGGTCACACAAATGTGGACCTTAGAAAAATGTTTAAGAATAAGATAATAGTGAAGAGTTGAAAAATAAACAATAATATACTGTACTGTAAAGTTTTTTTTAACAATATCAAATTGTGCACCTAGAGAATAAATAACCAATATGCAGCTATGGACATTTTTACAGTAATGGACATTTGAAAATAGCAGGAACATCAGAGATGTGCAGAATGACAGCAGCATGTTATTTAACTGACTAAGGTTTCTATCATTACATTTGATTTTATTTGTTCCTGCTCCCGGTGGTTGGAACCTTTATTCCACTCTGGATTCACGAGTGCAAACTTTGTTCACTTTACAATAAAAAAAAAAAAATTAAAAAGAAACAGTTTTCAAAAGTTCGTTATCCATTCTTTTTTCTGCTTTTTGTGTCAACTGTCATGGTTGCTAAGCGACAGGTGGTGAAAGCCACTGAAGGGTAGACCTGTCTGAATTCACAGCCAAAACTCTTCCGGTCTTATTTTCAAGGACCTGGAAGGATCCAGTCCAGGTAGGCCGCGTCCTTGGAGGATGCAGCCCATGAATTCGAACAGAGCCTGTGTCAGTTGCAGGCTTGCTAGAATTCTACAGCAGGTGTAACAGCGGCTTGATGGAGGAGGAAGCACGTTCCTCCAAATGTTAACTTTGCTAGGTTGCTCCATCTTTGTCACACTTACAGAAAATCCCAAGTTAGTGGATGAAAATAAAATGTAACAAATTCCAAAATGGAAGTTCCTCTTTGAAATAGTTTTATTTGACCGTATTCGTTTGTTCTAAGAAAGCAGAAAATGTAGCCACAGAGCTACAGCCATGCACATGGGGCGACACTGTGTTGCCATAGTGAGGACTGCTTTACTTTTCCATGGGGGGATAGAAGCCATCCCATTTTGTATATAGCCCCCACCTTTAATCAAGGTCCCTTACACAGCTAGGAGTAAGACTTCATTGGGAGTGACACTTGATAGTGCTTAGGGGGCGGTTTGGCCCAATCGTCACTCTGGCTTAGATTCAACAGGAAGGGAAGAATAGGTCTCACGTAAAAAAAAAACTTTTATATTATATTATACTGAAGAACTAAACTTTATCAACTGGTTTTATTTATCAGTGCAAGATTGGAATTCCCACTGGTAAGATACATCCCAATCCCACATCTGACCATCTTATTAGGAATGTTGGCCTGGTGGTTAGGGCATAGAGCTTGGAATCCTGAGGTCGTGGGTTTGAAACCCACACCGGCTCTCTGAGCAAGACCTTTAACCCCACACTCTGCTCTCCAGGGACCCCACGATGGCAGCCCCCTGCTGCTCAATGGGATGGGTTAAATTAAAGGTAACATTCTGCAATGTGAAATCAATAAAGTTCAATTGTTATATTATTTCACTGACTGGAAAAGGTCCCTGGCCTGTTTTCTTGAGGCAAGAAAACATCTCTCCATGGAAGTTTGAGAGTTCTTCCTGTTTATAGATGGGTTTTCTCTGGGTACTCTGGCTTTTCCTCACAGGCTAGAAAGCACCACAGCACTTCTTGATTATTGACTGCTGGAGGTAGCCATCCTTCAAAGATATAGAAGTATAGATAACCTTGTGATGCAAGACTTAAGATAACCATCCTTGCAGTATTTTTTCTGTCTGGCTTTATACTGTAAATCTTTACACATTACAGAGGAGGAAAGTTGGCCCAGTGCTTTCTGCGAGGTTTTTCCAAAGCTCTCTGAAGGTCCCATCACAGCACTTTAATTCAGGTTTAGGTCTGGGATTTTACTAGGCCACAACACCTGGATTCTTTTCTATTTTAGCAGTGTTGTGCATTTTGCTTTTTTCAGGAAGTTTGTTTTGTTTGTCATGAAATCAGAATAAATACACTATATAAATCAGTTAAAAAAGAATTATAAAGCCAGTGAGAAAAAAAATGAAATATAAATTTCTATCATCCATTCTTTATCCTGAATTTCTACAAGGAAATGTGGGATAAAGAATGGATTAAACCTAAAATTCTGAATAAAAGTGGAATAAAAATCATAGAGCTATTCTGCTAAAGTGAAACCAATCAGTTTGTTAAGGAAGCTTTTTTTTTTTTTTTATCAATTTAAACGATTTATGTTCCTCTGAAAACAAATGTTTTTAAAAGACAAGAGAATGTTTTATTCAGAACATTTTAAGTATTAAGTAAATTTTTTTATCCCTTAGATTATTTCAGATGTGATTAAAACAGAGACAAAAAAATCCATATTTAGTAAATAATTCATCTTTATTATGATTTAACACTTAGATCAATCTTCTGAGTTAACCATATACATTTAGGAGCTATAATTAGCTTCAGCTGAGATAACATTCAATAGAACCACACATATGAGAGGATCAGTTAGTGCAATTTACTGTTAAACCTTCAAACTAAAAAAACAAACAGCTTCAGTTTGCAAAAATAAAATCATCTATTGATCTAAACAGAGTAAAAACTTACAGCAGAAAGCTACCAGAGGCACATCAGAGGGGAACACGCCGACACACAAGTTAAACATCTACACACTGAGGGCGTGGCAGCGTGGAGATGAGGCCCCGCCCACCACACAGCCTGAGGGGAAGTAGAAACGTTACATCCAAGCAGCGACGACACATTACGTCCTATTTGGCAGAGATGAAGGCTTGTTGTGCAACTGGCAGTGGAGCAATCTACGAGTACTGCATGGACGGATAAAAACCCCACAGGGCCCCGGGCGGAGGCACACAGAGGGGCTCCTATGTTGTTGTTCTTCTGCTCTTTGTGTTTCTCTCACACATTTATATGACCTTTTATCCCTTGTGTAGGGCTCCTGGTTCTGGATCCACAGCATCACTATGGGATCCATGCTTGGCTGCAACAAGCCTGATCCCTTAGCTACATTTTGTGTGAGCTTTTTGATAATTAAACTGATTTCTAACATTATAAAAGGCTTTTAATCAGAACAGTAAACTGCTCTATTATCAAACAACTACCTGATAAACAACACATTTACATTCTAAGCAAAGACATTTTGATCTCTGTTGCCAGTTTAGAGAGGGATTGGCAAAATAAGATAACAAATACCCTGCAGTTCACAGATCATAACTAGACTTTAAGTTGTGTGGTCCCAGTCAGCTCCACAGAGTGAGGTGGTTACATCATGGAAGATGAAACTGCTTCGTCAGAAGCTTCATCCCTGGACCTGAACCAGGATGGAGAAGATGTTCCCCATCTTCTACCAGCAGTGACTTAGGGCCATTAATATCAAGTCAGTAACAGTAAAGGAGCTGAGGGGGAAGTGCAATTCAGAGAAACTTAGGCTGTTTTTATACATTAAAGGTGTAGTGGAGGATTTTTGAAAAGACCCACCCTCTCCACTTAAAAAAAAGCACATGCACAACCCTGTACCCGCTCCCGATAGGGAATGCCTTTTAAACACGTGCAAGCGATGCAAACAGCAACTTTTAAACAGAGCGTGCACGAGGAGAAATGGGCTCGTGCACCCTCTGTTTAAAAGTTGCTGTTTGCTTCGCTCATACAAGCTTACTTTCCAAAAGAATATTTGCAATTTTTCCACTATGTCCAACTCACCACCGGTAAGTGAAAATGGGGACGAGCACGTAGGATGGCCTTACGTAAACATATCACCAGAATGATTGACAATTAGGAGGACCACTTATTTTGATGATCCACAAGGAAAACTAACACCCCCCCACTAAACCTTTAATTACATGCAGAATGTTTGGAAAAGCTCTGATACTTGCAACCTCTAAATGAGTGAATTTAGGGGTTGAATTTACTTGAATATTTTCAACACTATCGTCTTTTTGAAGTAGATTCACTGGCCTGTTCTTTTTTACTTTTAATTCAGTTAACATTATTAATATTGCTACTCATGACTAAATGTTTTGCTACTCTACTCACCTTGAATAACTTTTTTGAAGTTATTTTAACCACAAAAGTACCAGAGACGGACACACTTAAAGTCTATATTGAAGTGAGACCTCCTGTTTATATGGAAGCTTTGTCATTTAAAAGTTATTTTCTATTTGCTGAGGTCATTACTTAGAGGTCAGGTAAACATATAGTAAAGAGTAGATATTTGCTTTGGACTGTTCTAACGTGCTGTATATTTTTTTATGATTTTAGAAGTTTTAATTTAAGAAAATATTTTGAAGTTTCTGTGGCCTGAATTTTTTTCTTTACAAATATTTAGTTTTTCATTGTTTCCCAATTTTGTCTTTTATGTACCATTATTTTTACATAACTATATCTGTGTCTTTACAATTCAATCATTATTAAATATCTCTTGTTATAATCAGTTTCTCAATATTCGGGTAGCTTTCTTACCAGATTGTTTTTTTTTTGCTGTCAGTAATTTTTAGGATGCTATGTTTTGCTTTTACTTGAGTAACAATATGTTGAAGTATCTTTAATTTTACTTTGGTACAATTTTTTTTTTTTGACATTTTACCCACTTTTGTCAAAAAAAATACACACATTCAGATTATGATGAATTTTTACAATTGATAATAAATCCAAACATTTATGATTTTTTTTTTACCCTTTATGGTTAAAGGTATAGACTTGCAAAGTGATACAAAACAAGTTCCTTACTTTTAGCACTTAAATTTTTAGAAGAGTTTAAAAAAGAAATATTTTTGCATTCTATGAGAAAAATGTTGACTTATTTCTCATAAATTTAGGAGCAATTTATTTATTTATGAGTATTAATGTAAATAAAGGAAACTCTTTTTGGCACCCCCCCACCCAGTTTGGTTTCTTTTTAAAAATTGTCTTCTACCTTTTCACCAGTGAACAAAGAACTGAAACGCTTTTGTTCCCGTTTAAACAAAACTGGTGCTATTTTTCAAAACTATAAGTCAGTTTTTACAGTTCAGTTTATACTGGTTCTGTTGGCAGCTTCAAATGTCTGGTTACATTTAAAGGAAAAATAAATATAAAAACATCATAGATCAAGAGGAAAACTAGTTTTTAGGCAGATCGGAGCAGGTGGAAATTTGGGGATAAAATGTAGTTTTACCATTTTTCTTTCAGTTTTAAAACTTCCTTTCAGAAAGCTGAGGGTGAGAAGAAAAGGAGAAGCACTGTTAAAAGTCCAGTTGATCAGAAACAAATGACACTCGGCTCTGTGATAAAAACACAGAACTTCATGCATGTCAGAAACAGCTACAGCAGAACATATCAGTAGGTCAGCTCCACAATTGGTTAAATAAACATTTAATGCCACTGAGATCTGCTACACGCCTGCAGCGCCCCCTGCTGTTAAATCAGCAAACCAGTCTAAATCCTGATATTTTAATATTTGTGGTCAGTCTGAATCTAACTTAAAATCTCTATCGTCCAACATTAAAACTGATCATTTTCCTTCAGAGAAAAACCTGAACCTCCATGTGGAACCACAGCTTATCAGGCAAGTAATGATCTTGATGCAGACCACACCAGCCTCTGCAAAAAACCGATTTAACAGAACCCTGAAGCTTCATGCTTCTTCTACTCTATACATGATCTGACTTTAGTCAAAAACACAAATCCAACAGATTTGGTTTTCCAGCACCAAGACGAAAAGTCAGATTTCAAAGAAGCGCGATAACATTGATGAAAAACTATGTCGAGGCTACATGAAGAACTGGAACCGAGACAAACTCCCTCCAAGCTCATCTGAGCTGGTCCTTCTGGGTTTGGATCAGAATCCGTATTTCAGACTGAAACTGAATTTGGACACTGCTGATTGAGCTGGTTCTGATTCAAAACCCATAAAGAAAACATCACCATACAGAATGTTTCTCTTAACAATGAGTCTGTTTCTGTCAGGAACAAAAAAATCTGTTAAAGTTTCTGGGTTCTGAAGAAACTGAGTGAAAGCAGTCTTGGTTGGACCTCCATATCTCAGCCATATTTTCTCATCCGAACCATCATTAAAAGTGTAACTAAATGACAGAAAGTTACCCAGTTAGCCTTCTAATCCTTCTTCCAGCTTTTATCACAATGATAGTTAAAACTTTGAGGGATTTTTGACCCCGCAAAAAAGCTTTTAAATTGAGTTTCTTCATCCACTCAGAAGGGTCTGATACTTCTAGTTCTAACACAGTTACTTCTTGTGGAGGGACTCACCAAAGCAACCATGGAATCGGTTATCTTCAATCGCTCTGATCGTCACAAATCTTCAACAGTATCTGAAGTCAGTTTATTTTTTCTTAATTCATTTTAAGCAGAGAATGTTTGGATTCCTGTGAACCTCCAGGTTGAGTTTTAGATGTTTGCAGCTTTTTGGAAAAACTGCCCGTCTAGATGTCAGAGTTCCTCTTCTTCTCCACCTTTATTTTATAGCTGCACATTATTCTTAGGTTATGCAACCAACACTGAGGTTACGTTTAATTACAGAACAGATACTGTTACGGCTGTCAGAAATTGTTCTGGTTACCCTCTGACTTTGTGAATTGTTGAAAATAGTCCAGATCGACCCACATTCTACTCAGACATCCAGATATGAAGGTTGCAGATGAGATTGAGTCACTTGGATCATTTCTCTTTAAAGTTACCAGACAATAATGTATTATGACCTTCTCCTCTTCCTTAGCAGGATGCAGATACCTTGAACCTGCTTCTATCTCCATCTGGATCTGTGATCGGTTAGGGTCGCTTCAAAGCTACATGAGTGGAATCACAGGCACTGGAACCGGACCAGCTTCCTGGGCAGCAAGAAGCAGCTAAAAATGGAGGACACCAATTTCGAGGAGAACCGGTCATTGTCCACCGTCTCTTGAGGAAGGACTCTCAGAGCGTCCATCCTTGCTGGCAGCAGATTTCTTCTGTTTCACCTTGGACTTCCTCAGCATCCGGACCTGCAGACCGGAAACAAACATGAGGAGAGGCTGTGGGATCAACTGGAACCACAATCCATGGATGGATGAGACGATGGCTAAGTGGAAGAAGGAAGGAATGGATAAGGGTGCATGGATCGATGGATGGATGAGTGGGTGGGTGTATAAGTGGATGGCTGAATGAGTAGGTGGGAGGATAAGTGGATGGATGGAAAATTGGGTGGATGGCAAAATGGATCGATGGATTGCACCACTGAACCTTTCATTCTGATGGAAGATTGCGTGGATGGGCGGATAACTCAATGGAAGGTTGAGTGGGTGGATGGATAATTTGATGGAGGGATGAGTGGATGGGTGGATAATTGGATGGAAGGATGAGTGGGTGGGTGGATTATTGGATGGAAGGATGAGTGGATGGGTGGATTATTGGATGGAAGGATGAGTGGATGGGTGGATTATTGGATGGAAGGATGAGTGGATGGGTGGATAATTGGATGGAAGGATGAGTGGATGGGTGGATAATTGGATGGAAGGATGAGTGGGTGGGTGGATAATTGGATGGAAGGATGAGTGGGTGGGTGGATAATTGGATGGTAGGATGAGTGGATGGGTGGATAATTGGATGGTAGGATGAGTGGATGGGTGGATAATTGGATGGTAGGATGAGTGGATGGGTGGATAATTGGATGGTAGGATGGGTGGATAATTGGATGGTAGGATAAGTGGGTGGGTGGCTAATTGGATGGAAGGATGAGTGGGTGAGTGGATAATTGGATAGAAGGTTGAGTGGGTGGGTGGATAATTGGATGAAATGATGAGTGGGTGGGCAAATAATTCACAGAATATTGAGTAGGAGGGCAGATAATTGGATGGTAGGATGAGTGGGTGGGAAGATGAGTGGGTGGAAGGATGAGTGGGTGGGCGGATAATTGGATGAAAGGATGAGTGGGTGAGAGTATAAGTGGAGGGATGGCTAGACAAGTGAATGGATAGGGGTGGGTGGATAAGTGGGTGGAAATGAGTAGATAGGTGGATAATTGGATGGAGGGACGAGTGGATGTGTAGATGTTTGTCTCCATCAACATCATCATGTTGCTTGTGGTCCAGCCTAGACCCAAGATTTGAAAACCCGCTAAGAAGCTATAATTCTGACCAGATAAGCAAGAGACAACCTTTAGTAGTGAGAAGAGTATAGCAGCTCTGCAGGGTCAAACAGAGCATACCTTTGGTCCCGCAGCAGAAATGATAATGTGTCCAGGTGGCTGGATCCACGGCTCCCCGTCAAGCTGCACCGTTATGGGTTTGCTGAGAGTCAGCCTGATGTAGTTCCCCTGAGCAATCCGGATCCCGGAGCGGAGCCCACCATGAACCTGACCCTGCAGACACACAGCAGATGTTTGAACTCTGCTGCAGGACCCAGGACGAAGATGTTTCTGCAGCACAGCCTACCATGTGAACGACCCCTGTGACTCCAACCACCTCCAGCAGGCCGTCATCGATCCTCGGCCTTGCAAACCGTGAATCGGCTTCTGATCCCCACAGGTCGGCACCAGAACCCCAGCTGCACAGAGGGGAGCGAGAGAAACGTAATGAAGGAGAGTCCGTCATCTTGCTGGGGTGCTGTGTTTGTGTGTCCGTCTGTCACCTGGAAATGTTGAGGAAAATCAGACCCTCGATGTTGGGTAAGGGAACCTGCTGCGAGTCCACCTGCAGCTGCAGCTCTTTATGGAGGCTCCTGCCGTGGCTGATCTTCTGCAGACCCACCTTCACATAAACACCTTTGTTGTGGAACCTGTGTGGTACAAATTGGACTTTATTACCAGGAGTAGTCTGCTTCTTCAGAGCTTTGCAAAAACTGTGATAGTCACCAGAGAACACACAGAAAGGCTAACATCCCTGAATTAAATCTGAAGGTCTGTTAGCAAATTTAAACAAATAATATTAAGAAAAGAAAACTTGAATCATTAATATTTAATTAATTAGACATTAACAGCTGAAACCATTTCTGGTTCATCTCCAAAGCTTTGGTCTATTTTCTTCTGGTGCTATTTGGGCCCTCCAGCTTAGTGATGATCTAGTTCCAGATCCATCAGGTTACCTGCTAGTGAACTTATCGGGTTCGCCCTCTCGGGCCAGGTGGAAGTCCAGGCTGAGCTCTGCATCGATGCCGAGACCAAAGTAGTTGTTCATCTGGACAACCTAAGAGGAGGAGGAGGAAAAAGCATTCATCGAGTTACCTTCACCACCTATTTATGTGCTCCAACACTTCACCTAAACATTTTCTAAGACTCTGGACACTTTAGTTGGTTTATCATTAACAGAAACATTGAAGATCTTCTTGGAATTCTTTAAATCTGCAGAGTTGTTCTTGGAGGTTTTGGAGCAAACCTTGGGTGGCTCCAGGTAGCCGTTGTCCTTTCCATCCTCCGTGATGTCCTGAGCATCCAGCAAGATGGTCCAGCGGTCCATCTGCACTTCGTCTGCCTCGTCCACTGACACCAAGATGTGGTGGGGGTCCTCACCGCTGTATCCCGCCCCCCAGCGGAGGATCCGTGCCAAGTCATTCCCTGACCACTCAAAAAGAGTAAATACAGAAATGAGACATCAAATCAACAGAACGTTACAGAGAGTCCAGCGGCGGTCGGTCTCACCAGTTCCCAGTGGGACGATACCAATGGGCGGCTCCCGGCAGACCAGTTTGTGCCTCACGGCCTCCAGGACTCCCAGGACCCAGCCAACTGTGCCATCACCCCCGCAGACCAGAACCCGGAACCGAGGAACCCCCCTGAATGTATGCAGGCTGCAGCAGAGAAGAGGTTGAGTTAACATGAGTTTCCCGTCCTTCTGGAAAAACATGTCTGCACACCACAGACAGCTGCTGTGTTTCCTCATGCATTGAATCCACAGATCATCAGTATTTAACATCATATACAGCAGGTCCTGATTCCTCACCCTGCCAGCGGGCCTCCGTTGGTGAGGTCAAAGACCTGGTGAGGGTTCAGCAGTTTCCGGAAGCTGTAGAGGAGCTCTCTGCCCTTCAGGCCACCGCTCTTCGGGTTGACGAACACCAGCAGGGGGCAGACGTCATCTTCCAGCTTCTCATGCTGTAAGTGAAACCACTGAATCAGAGCCTATGATGGTCCAGATGGTACAAACTCACCTGACGGACAAAAGGTTCTAATCTACCAAAAGAAAAACTACAATAATAAATACATGAAGGCTAGAAATAAGCAAATAAATCAATAAAAGTAGATTTTATTGGTGAAAAAATGTAGAAAACCTTTAAACTTATCAGCATGTGTTTAATCAGAAAGATCCTAGAAACCTTAAAAGCAGCAATCCATGGTTTACCCTGGAGAATTTATATGACATGACACTTAAAATGGCTCCTGGTCGTATCCACAGTTGGGGTGGGTATTGCCAAAGAAGTCACGATGCGATTCTATCAAGATACTTGAATTATTGCGATGCATTGCAATATTTTCTCCTCCATGTTTTGTTTTTGAATGACTCGGCGCAGTATCCCACGGCCGGAAATGCTTGTTACACAAGGCAGCGTGCGTCAGAACATTTGCAGCGACATCTACTGGACTGGAAGTTGTATTACACTTGTTTTTGGCTGATGTTCGCCAACCATTCATGCAATTTTATTTATTCATTTTTTTTTAAATTAATAATCAATACTTGGCGTCAAGAATCGATGCAGTAGATCACGAAAATTAGAATCACGATGCATCATCATGACGATTATTTTGCACACCCCTAATCCACAGTCAGGATGTTAAAGAAACAGTTCAACCCAAATGGACCAGAGACAAACAAGACCAGACCAGGACTCAAGTCTGTCTTCCCTCACAGGGAAGAGGAGGAGGACGGTGCAGAAGATAAAAAATCTAGAGTGTCCACTGAGAGACACCTGTTGCCGTGAGAAAATGGGCATCACCAGGTCTTCCGTGATTCAAATACTTTCACAACCTAAGGCTTGAAAATCCATCTTCAACTTTTGTACCTGGAATGTAACAAACTTTCTGAAGTCTGAAAGATTCAGTGGGTTTTACTCTCAGCCTGAAAAGCAGTCCATCCCCTGAAAAAGCTCATAGGTCAGTCTATCTGTCAGAGTTTGCACTTCCCATTGTCTGTTCAAATGCAGAATGATTTGAGGCCAGTTCTGGTTCTGCTGGATCTTACATCCATGCAATCTGCTTGGTTCCCTTAGATAGAAACCTTTTGCCAATTCAAACAATAAACTGAAGTCAACTCATTTGCTTAACAACTAGGATGAAACTGGACTGGAGAAGTGCAACAAAAAAAAAAAAAAGAATCCTGGTTTTAACTCAGACCCTAACCAGCTAATTAACTCCAAAGAGACTAACTGGTCTCAGTCTGACACCATGTTGGAGAAGACTACTGAATGGACATGTGTCCAGAGGACAGTTACTGATCTCCCCTCTACAACAAGACCAGGGTATCAATGAATCGCCTCAATCAAATTGAACTTATTAATAATCAATTAATCGTTAATTGGTGTATACAGATTAACACATGCCATTAGCTTAAAGAGCATAATCAGAGCAGTAGTTTGCTTTGATTCAATTCAATTCAGTTTATTTATATAGCACCAATTCACAACACAAGTCATCTCAAGGCACTTTACAGTTCACCAGATCATACAGTCGAATTGATTCAAAGATTTCCATCTAAGGAAAACCAGTTGATTGCATCAACTCATTGACTCCAATGCATTCCCTCACACTAAGCATGCTTGTAGCGACAGT